ACCTGTTCCTCCCCTCGTCATTTACAGGTCACATACTAAATCCAGGTTTCTTCCAAATCACCTCACTTATTTCCCTGCTTGAAAAGCTCCAACTGAAATAAATAAATGTAACCCAGCTAACTAGGTTAAGATTGTTGTTCATTAAACTCAACCTAGTTAGCTGTGTTTACCTTGAACAATGGTTGTGGTTGTAGATCAGCTGAAGAAGTATTTGGTGACGTTCAACTTTTCAATGTGAGAATTGTGCTGGGACAGCTTCTTCACAGACATGTTGCTGCTGCAGTTGTCTTTGTAACACCAGAAGAACTTTGTCACATTCCTGATCAACTCTTTTGCTAAAAACACATTTTTATGAGTAATTCATTTGAATCTGTTGATTTGAGCTGCATCTGCTTTGTTTTATTTCAAACTGTCACTCTTGTTTTATTTCAAACTGTTTATAAAATGTCTCCTGATCATTCATTCATCCTCATCCATCATTCATTTCAATGAATTCTGTATTACATACAGAAGATTCAATGTTTTATTTTCCCCACAAATAACTGGTTTTTAATGTTTGTGTGTTATTATGAGTTGTGTCCATGTCACAGGTTTGAACCCAGCTTGTCTCCCTGTGTGTCTGTCTGAAAAACACACTCTTGTATGGTTGAGTCTCAGTTGATTGTTGATGCAGCAGCGGCACCTGCTGTCCAAACCAACAAACTACCAGCTGAAGTCAGATCTGCTCTTCATCTGTTGTTCAATCTCATATCAGACATCCTTCCATGTTCACTGCTCTGTGTGTGTGTGTGTGTGTGTGTGTGTGTGTGTGTGTGTGTGTGTGTTGTTGTTATTGTTGCTGTTTGACAGTCTTATAGCAGACACACTCATTTTCCTGCATCTACAGCTCACTGAAGGACAAAAACTCTAAAGATAGGGGCTTAAACGAGGGACTTTGTGCACTGCTCCTAAGTTACCACTAGGGGGCGATACTTGTTTTTAATGATTAATGAACATTTATCCGTCATCAGTAACTAATCTGTCTGCTTGTTGTTTTTTTCCAGATCTCTTTATTAGTTACTGCATTTTCTTCCTTTCATGGTCATTAACCATCATTTATTAATTCAAATAATCAGTTATCACATTATAAGTTATGTGAGGAAACGCCAACTCATTAACTAACACAGTTTTCTTTGTTTCCTTTATTTTATTTATAGTCAATATCAAATGAAAAAGACGTAGAATTGTTGGTAGCATTGGATTTACGTTACAGACACGCTGTAATCAGAACAATAACCTGTCTGAGTCCTTTGTGGAAGCCATCTTGTGCTGGTGCTGAAAGAGGAAGTAGGCGGATTCTCAGATTTGATTGGATAATGGATGTGTGATAAAATCAGTGCCTGCAATCTTTAACATGAACAATGGGAACCGAGTCGCAGTTGAGAGCTGTTCTTTTTCTTTTTTTTAATCGCTGTCATGCACACAGCATTGTGCACACAAGCTCCTCTTTAGCTACTCCACTGAGATGGAGAGCATGCACAACAAGGGGAGGAGCGCAGCAGAGTACACCTGGGGTGCTAATTTGATATGCAAATTTCTCATGACGTCGTCTGAGTTGTCCGACACAGTGGCACACTGCTTTCACGTGAGTGCGGAGTGTCAGTACTGCAGCTACAATGAGCCAAAGAAAGCGCAGCATTTGGTTCCAAAGAGGAAAAAAGCAGCAACACTGAAAATAAACAGACTTCAACATAAAATACATCAAAATATATAAAACAATCAATCAATCAATCATCATCCTTACCTTCATCATCATCAATAATCATATCATCATCATCTTCATCATCTTCATCATCATCATCATCATCATCATCCTCATCTTCATCTTCATCATCATTTTCATCTTCATCTTAATCTTCAACATCACCTTCATCATCATCAACTTTATTGTCTTCATCATCATCTTCATCATCAATCATCATCGCCATCATCATCTTCTTTGTCTTCATCATCATCCCCATCACCAATCATCATCACCATCATCTTCATCATTTTCATTTTTATCTTCATCTTCATCATCATCCTCCTCATCATCCTCTTCATCATCATTTTCATCTTCATCATCTTCATTTCATCTTCATCTTCTTCATCATCATCATCTTCATCATCATTATCATCATCATCATCATTTTCATCTTCATCATCTTCATCTTCATCATCTTCATCTTCATCATCTTCTTCATCATCTTCATTTTCATTTTCATCTTCTTCATCATCATCTTCATCACCATCACATCATCATCATCATCTTCATCATCTTCATCATCACCTTCATCATTATCACCTTCATCTTCATCATTCATCAGTCATCAATAATCATTATCATCTTCATCATCATCATCATCATCATCATCATCATTATTAATCCACCATCATCATCATCATTATCATCTTCATCATCATCTTCATCAATCATCATTATCATCTTCATCATCAACATCAACATCATCATCATCATCACAATCAATGAACCAATCAATCAATTAATCAATCATAGGAATAAGAAGCTCCTAATATTCTCTTTTAAATGTTTCCATAGAGGAGCCACATTAGTTTCTCCCATAATTCCTCTCTCCTTCTGTTGCAGTTCCTCTGTGGTCCAGCAGGAGGCAGTATAACTCCACAGAAAGATCAACCTGCCTGCTGTTTCTCTTTCTGCTGAGTAAACCTCTGTTCTCTACCTCTCATCTCCTTCCCTTTATTCTTTCTGCTTTGTTTCCTTTCTCTCTTGTCCTCCCCTCTTTTCCTCACCTTTAGTGTCCCCCTTCACTTCTTTCCTCTCCTTACTCCCTTCTCTTCTCCTCGGCCTTCTTCTTGTCCTTTGTCTTCTCTTTTCCTTCCTCATCTTAATTGATTGAGACATTTTGCTGATGATCAACAAATGATAATTATTACAGAAGACAGTGTGTGTGTGTGTTTGTGTGTGTGTGTGTGTGTGTGTGTGTGTGTGTTGGTTTTTGTGTATCAAGTGGACATTGACGTTACTGACACATTAACACTAGATGGACATTTTGTATTATGAGGACAGGGTCAGTGTCCTGCTAATTCTAAAAATGTAGAAATGTTTCTATAGAGCTAGAGGGATCAAATCCAAAGTTTCTGCTAAAGTCCATCCCGTACACAATAACCAGACATTGTATAATCTGTGTATCAACACAGCGCCCCCCTAGTTTGATCTGTGGTACTGCACCACCTCATTAATAAGGCTTCTGCCCTCTGCTGTGAGCCAATAAAGGTTTAAAATCTGATTTGAATCATGGTCCTCTTTGTCTGCATGTAGAACAGTGTTTTTTAATTTGATGTAAAGCAGAGCTGAGAATTTACAGCATTAATAAAATCCATTACCAGCTCAATATGTGACTGTGCTATTGAATAATAGTTTTGGGTTTTTTGACTCATATGAGAAGAATATTTGACAAGAGTGAAGCATTGTGTTGCAACGATATAAAAAATACTAAATCACATCAGTGAAATCAATATTTTCTTCCTTTCATGGTCATTAACCATCATTTATTACCGGTAATTCAGTTTATGAAATCAGGGTTTTATTTGATCTTGTGTGCTGGCTTTAATTTCAAATCTAGTTTTATCAGTTTAAATCAAGTTGAACTAAATGAAGTCAGTCAGAAAGAAAGTATTCACATCACCAGTTCAGTTTTCACTGCACACAGATATTGCATCCATTCAGATAAACCAGTCTGAGGAAAACAGTGGAAATGGTGACATCTGCTGGCAGAAAGCAGCTCCAGCAGGAGCTACAGAACATGAACACTGGTGATAACAACTGCTTCATCATTGATTTCTGTGGGAAAAAGCTCCACAGGTTGACTTTATGTGTCTGTAATGTGAAAACTACAAGAGTCCCACATAAAACTGTAAGAAACTGAACTTCATTTGGACTAAAAAACATGATTTATTAGTTTGACAGCAACAATCAAGATAGCATTATTTGTTTTATAGACATGATTAATAAATATAATGTCTAGAATCTGCATATTAAACACTTCTAATTTTCTACAGAATGAAATATTAAAGCACTGACTTTCCACCAAAATCCAGACAGAATCTGTTTGTAGTCAGTTGAGAAACTTCAGTAAAGCCTTGATTGAATCCAGACTTTGTTCAGGTTTTATCTACTTCATTGATTATAATATGAGAAACGGCTGGTATTGGTGCGAATAACCAGAACTTCACACATGCAATATCAACTTCCACTGTTGTTATGAAATATCCAATTCAATGTGTTCATCTACCGTTCTGTTGACATAAACAGAATGAATGTGTAGAGGCAGTTTGGGTTCAGAATATGTGAATGAATGAAAGAATAAAATCCAGGTGGAGGTTCCAGGTGGAGGAGGTGGTTGAGTGTGGAGCAGAAGGAGTGGAGGAGTCTCAGTGTGTCTGCAGAGACTGTGTAGAAGGACAGAGCAGCAGCAGAGCAGTCCAGATACACTGATGATACTCTGTCACATCCAGAGGAACACACAGGGATGATGGTGGACTTGACATTGTGTCTGACAGTGGAGCTGATCTCAGAGCAGTTCAGACTGCAGCACTGAGAGTCATCTCCACTGGTTGTGATTCCTCTGTCAGTCACTGCTGGATGAAGCTCTCCTCTCCACTCTACCTCCCAGTAACATGGCCCAGTCAGAGCTGATGCTGCTGCTTCAACCTCTCTGGATCATCAGGACACAGCTGATCCTCCAACACAACCTCCTTCCTCACCACTCACACTCTGCCAGAGATCACTTACATCTGATGAGAGAAGAAGACAGACAACAGAAGTCATAAATCAGTGTTTACAGTCTCTGTCTGTCTTTCTGTCCAACCCTGAAGTCTGTCACCATCCTCCTCTCACAGCTTCACTGAGGAAAGCAGCAAATACTGGATCTTTGCTTTGATACTAACTGTGTTTAGTACAATACTGCTGAAACCAGCATGGACTGACTCCCTCTACTGACCTCAGAGTCTCCAGTCTACAGTGTGGACTCTCCACAAGATCAGACAGCAGCTTCACTCCTGAATCCTGCAGCTTGTTGTCAGTCAGGTCCAGCTCTCTCAGATGGGAGGGGTTGGACTTCAGAGCTGAGACCAGATAATCACAGCTGATCTCTGACAACCTGCAGCCCCACAATCTGAATAAAGAATAAAAGATGTAAGTTTAGAAGACAATGTTCCTGGTTGAAATCATTCAGTGTTTAATAATCTGTTCAGAGCTGAAGAAGGTTTAGAATTTACAAGTTTATAAAATGTGAACAAAAGACATCTACAATATTTCTTTTAGGAATAGTGGAGTCATTAAATCAAAGCATCTTCAGTTTAAACTATTCAGTCAGTATAAACATCATATAGCTTCATAACAATGTTGGAAACAGCAAATACTGAATATATTTGTTATTGTCTGATAGTTGAAATACATGATTTATTTATTATATTTATCATTTTGTCACATGTGACCATTTACCAACAATTATAAACATTCATTTACTTTAACAACTAACAGTGGACATTTTCTACAGTTTCTTTAACAAACACAAGTCTTTGTGACTGCAGACTAAATTTAGTTCAACAAACATTAAAATATGAACAAAAGCAACTTTACAACTTTATGGATGTAAGTTATTGTAGTATAAAATCTAATGCATGCTGATGACTATTATATGCTAAAAATTCTAGTAATCACACAGTAATCACACAAAATAATGGTATAAGCACTATATTTTAATCACACACAGAAAAATCAAGTAATGAGCACTGTATTCAAGTAGAGTTGATTTTATGGTTAATATGATTTAAGTAAGGTTGATTTTATGTGAGCACACAAAACTGTTAATGAAGTAGAGAGCACCATTGTTTTAGTAAAAGTTTGATTTAATGGTTTGATTTAAAGTAGAGAAGAATATTGAATGTGTAGTTGTAGCAAGAAATAAGTAATGTTAGTACCACAAAACATGTGAATGATTGTAACACAAGCTTTTTGTCATTTTATAAGGTTTATAAAGATTTAAAAATACAGTAAAAGACGTCTATGACATAATGGTGTGAGAAAGAAGAGCAAAAAGAAAAGGTCTAGGCATACTGCCAAAGGCCAGGAAGCCAGCAAGGTTAATGATAAGAAGTGCTCAAGCCCAGCACAAGGCACAACAGGCCCTGAGTCCTGCAGGATCTGTAGTAAGACTAGCGCATGTGCAGAAGGACTGACTGTGTGATAACAAGTGCTCAGGCCACAGGTGCAGAGGAGCTGAGGGTGATGTAGACAAGACAGTAGAGGGGACAGTCCCAGGTTGGTGGAATTTTCCAGACATTTCCAGGGGGATGGACACCATTATGTCATGGATCAAAAAAACTGACAGTTGGGCGGGACTTATAAGTGTATAAAAGGTGATGTTCTGACATGAAAATTCAGTCTTTCCATGGATGACTCAGGTTTTAATCTTCTGCAAAGGGAATAAAGCTCTACTTCTACTGCCTACTTGGATGAATCCTGGCTGTTTCTTTTCCATCTAAAGGAAATACTATTTGGACCCAAATTTTCCATTCAAAGGATAATATTAATGGACCTGATTTGGATTTAAATCTGAGATGTTGGATATAATCTTCTGATCAGAAAAACCTGTTTTATGGAGAACCAACATTATGTATGAACATAAATTAGGTTCAGTTGTTAATTAAATGTAGCCCTGGATAAAATACTTTTAGACTTCAAGATGTGGATAATTTATGTAGTCATCAGAAAGTAAATAAAAAAATACTGTTTAAAATGTAAATGGAAGGTTAACTATGTGTTTAAATATAAGATGTATAATCTCTACAGTTCAGAGGTCAAAGGATGAAGTTCATGTAGATTAACATAGTTTGTTTTATATGTATCTGTATTACACACTGTATTCAGCCTGACAGCCTAACCTGGTTCATGCATGATATGTCAATCTTTGTGTTTCTTTATTGTAATTGGACTGTTCTGGATTAAACAGCCAACCAAATTACATTCTCAGGTAGAGAGTACTTAGTCGTACCCTGCTAGCTCTGGTGTTTGTGGAGAAAGGCAGAAGCTGATTAGTTATCCTAAGGGTTTGAACTTTTGTGATCAACAAGAGGTAAATATGAGTCTGTGAACTTTTTCCTGTACTGTGACTTATTGTTATAGTGGAACAAACGAGTTGTTACCAGCATGGACTGACTCCAACCCTCTACTGACCTCAGAGTCTCCAGTCTACAGTGTGGACTCTCCAGAAAACCACACAGCAGCTTCACTCCTGAATCCTGCAGATTGTTGTTTCCACTCAGGTCCAGATCTCTCAGATGGGAGGGGTTGGACTTCAGAGCTGAGACCAGATAATCACAGCTGATCTCTGACAACCTGCAGAGACTCAATCTGAATAAAGAATAAAAGATGTAAGTTTAGAAGCATCATATGGATTCATAAAACTATTGGAAAAAACAAATACTGAATATATTTGTTATTGTCTGATGGATAAAATATTGATATTATTATTTTATTCATCATAATGCAAAACATTTTAAAATCATGATGTTAATATAAGATTAAATGAAGAGTTTAAGAGGTTCAGAGTGAATTATTCAGTGTAGATTCTTCTTGTTATATTCAGGTTTTAAATGTGGAGCTCAACATTGCTCTGCCACAGTCAATGGACTAAACCACTGAAGAAGAAAACAGACTTTAGCATTAAGATACTCAGAGTGTGTGTGTGTGTGTGTGTGTGTGTGTGTGTCTGCAGTGCTGTGACAGACAGCCTCAGATAAAGGGGGGTGTGTGTTTGTGTCCAACGTTGCTGCTCAGTGTGTGTGAGCTTCAGTGAGGCAGATACTCTAATGAGCCGCAGACGGATTGTTTATTTAAATATTAAGCGCGACCCGAACCGAGCCTTTGGTCCCGAACCATCGGCAGTCGCTGAGCGGGCCAGTTCGGTGGACTGGTCACCGGGAAATGTCCCGGTGCTCCCGGTGGCCAGTCCACCACTGCTGTGAAATGATTATCGTGTCTTCAAATGTTTGATTCAGTTGCTGGTGTTGAAATTGCTTCTTTGCATATGTTGCACGTGGCCGTCTTATGGCGGGAACATCCCCTGTAAAGTACTGCAAACCGCCGACATGATGCACTAACGTTAGCTCCTTTTAACAGGTGGCAGGTCATCAATTCTTCTTCGCCCCTCTAAAACAGCAGCTGGCGATGGCAGCACAGCGCAACTGTTTTAAGAGCGGCGAGGAAGAACTGTGTCAGAGCTAACGGAGCTAACCAGTAAATAGATTCCTATTTCTAATAAATGACGTGGTATCGGATCAGTGCCTGGACTCCAGTACTCGCCGATACCGATGGCAGCATTTTCGGCAGTATCGGAGGCATTCCCGATACTGGTATCGGAACAACTCTAATAAAAACAAATATTAGTTCAGAGGATCTTCTGTATCCAGATGTGACCATTTACCAACAATTATAAACATTCATTTACTTTAACAACTAACAGTGGACATTTTCTACAGTTTCTTTAACAAACACAAGTCTTTGTGACTGCAGACTAAATTTAGTTCAACAAACATTAAAATATGAACAAAAGCAACTTTACAACTTTATGGATGTAAGTTATGTATGAACATAAATTAGGTTCAATTGTTAATTAAATGTAGCCCTGGATGTAGTCATCAGAAAGTAAATAGTTTAAAAAGGTTTAACATGTATAAATATGGTTAAAAACATGGATATAAATACTGTTTAAAATGTAAATGGAAGGTTAAATATGTGTTTAAATATAAGATGTATAATCTCTACAGTTCAGAGGTCAAAGGATGAAGTTCATGTAGATTAACATAGTTTGTTTTATATGTATCTGTATTACACACTGTATTCAGCCTTACAGCCTAACCTGGTTCATGCATGATATGTCAATCTTTGTGTTTCTTTATTGTAATTGGACTGTTCTGGATTAAACAGCCAACCAAATTACATTCTCAGGTAGAGAGTACTTAGTCGTACCCTGCTAGCTCTGGTGTTTGTGGAGAAAGGCAGAAGCTGATTAGTTATCCTAAGGGTTTGAACTTTTGTGATCAACAAGAGGTAAATATGAGTCTGTGAACTTTTTCCTGTACTGTGACTTATTGTTATAGTGGAACAAACGAGTTGTTACCAGCATGGACTGACTCCAACCCTCTACTGACCTCAGAGTCTCCAGTCTACAGTGTGGACTCTCCAGAAAACCACACAGCAGCTTCACTCCTGAATCCTGCAGCTTGTTGTTGTCACTCAGGTTCAGCTCTCTCAGATGGGAGGGGTTGGACTTCAGAGCTGAGACCAGATAATCACAGCTGATCTCTGACAACCTGCAGTACCTCAATCTGAATAAAGAATAAAAGATGTAAGTTTAGAAGCATCATATGGATTCATAAAACTATGGAAAAAACAAACACTGAATATATTTGTTATTGTCTGATAGATAAAATATTGATTATTTATTTATTATATTCATCATAATGCAAAACATTTTTAAATCATGATGTTAATATAAGATTAAATGAAGAGTTTAAGAGGTTCAGAGTGAATTATCCAGTGTAGATTCTTCTTGTTATATTCAGGTTTTAAATGTGGAGCTCAACATTGCTCTGCCACAGTCAATGGACTAAACCACTGAAGAAGAAAACAGACTTCAGCATTAAGATACTCAGTGTGTGTGTGTGTGTGTGTGTGTGTGTGTGTGTGTGTGTGTGTGTGTGTGTGTGTGTGTGTGTGTGTGTGTGTGTGTGTGTGTGTGTGTGTGTGTGTGTTCTGAAGGATCAATATCAATGATCAGACATTATTGAAGTCAGCAGAAACCAAAGAAATATTTCTCCTTCAGTAAACTTGATCAGTTTAAAACAAATATTAGTTCAGAGGATCTTCTGTATCCAGATGTGACCATTTACCAACAATTATAAACATTCATTTACTTTAACAACTAACAGTGGACATTTTCTACAGTTTCTTTAACAAACACAAGTCTTTGTGACTGCAGACTAAATTTAGTTCAACAAACATTAAAATATGAACAAAAGCAACTTTACAACTTTATGGATGTAAGTTATGTATGAACATAAATTAGGTTCAGTTGTTAATTAAATGTAGCCCTGGATAAAATACTTTTAGACTTCAAGATGTGGATAATTCATGTAGTCATCAGACAGTAAATAGTTTAAAAAGAGAGGTTTAACATGTATAAATATGGTTAAAAACATGGATATAAATACTGTTTAAAATGTAAATGGAAGGTTAAATATGTGTTTAAATATAAGATGTATAATCTCTACAGTTCAGAGGTCAAAGGGAAAATAATAACTAAATCAAATGTAGCCGGCTCTTTCGGCTCCCAAGTGGCTCCTCAGATTTTTTGTTGCTTAAATTAATTTATTACCAAATGATGTGTAAAATGAACATCTAATGTAAATACATACATTATATCAAATGTGTATTATTTATATGGATTTATTAATATACTCAACATGGAACAGAGTGCTACAAAATAAATGATAAAATACAAAAACAAAGACCCATCTCAATTAGACAAAAAGCTCGATATGAAATGTTTAACTAACACAGTGTACACTCTGCCTGTGAACTGTCTATCACATTCAAATGTGTCCAAACTTTACTCTGTTTCCTGTCACTCATCTTCCTCACCCTTTCCAGTGTGTAGTCTCTGTCTATGTAGCGCCAAGGTCTCTCGCTCTCACGTCTCCCTCCCTCCTGTTCACGTGCTCACTGTGCCCTGTGTGTCTGTAACCCCCCCCATCAGGATCCGGCTCCCCATCAGGATCCGGATCCCGTCGTTCACTTCAAAGAGCCGGCTCTTGGAGTCGGATCGTTCGCGACCGACGGTGAACGGCAGCAACAGCGAGAGACTGGTTAGTGAAAGTTATGAGAGAGTTTAGCAGTGAATGTAGAGTTTATGTCACAGTTGTCGGTGAATAAAGGCTGTCGCTTCTCAAGGACAAAGTGGAGCCTCCGTGTGAGTTGTTTGCCAACTGCTGGAGATAAAGTGAAGGGGGTTAGCCCCGAAGTTAGCCTCAACTTCGGCCCTGGAGGAAACTCTCCCCTGTGCTTCCCGACTACGGTCTGGGAGCCGAACAGGAATGGTTAACACTAAGGGTTTGAACTTTTGTGATCAACAAGAGCTAAATATGAGTCTGTGAACTTTTTCCTGTACTGTGACTTATTGTTATAGTGGAACAAACGAGTTGTTACCAGCATGGACTGACTCCAACCCTCTACTGACCTCAGAGTCTCCAGTCTACAGTGTGGACTCTCCAGAAAACCACACAGCAGCTTCACTCCTGAATCCTGCAGGTTGTTGTTACTCAGGTCCAGCTCTCTCAGATGGGAGGGGTTGGACTTCAGAGCTGAGACCAGATAATCACAGCTGATCTCTGACAACCTGCAGTGACTCAATCTGAATAAAGAATAAAAGATGTAAGTTTAGAAGCATCATATGGATTCATAAAACTATTGGAAAAAACAAATACTGAATATATTTGTTATTGTCTGATGGATAAAATATTGATTATCTATTTATTTATTATATTAATCATAATGCAAAACATTTTTAAATCATAATGTTAATATAAGATTAAATGAAGAGTTTAAGAGGTTCACAGTGATTTATCCAGTGTAGATTCTTCTTGTTATATTCAGGTTTTAAATGTGGAGCTCAACATTGCTCTGCCACAGTCAATGGACTAAACCACTGAAGAAGAAAACAGACTTTAGCATTAAGATACTCAGTGTGTGTGTGTGTGTGTGTGTGTGTGTGTGTGTGTGTGTGTGTGTGTGTGTGTGCTTGGTGAATTTAAAGTGAATATAACCTAACTTTAGTTATATTGTGTGTTTCAGTTAGAGGGAAATATTATTTCATTGCTGTAACTCTCAAGTTATAAGAAAGAAGAAACTGTAATTTAAAGGAGAGTAAATATTATTTAAATTAGTTTATTATTTTATTATTTTAATAATAATAAAAATGTTTTATTTCTTCTCAAATTTGATTCTTGTGTAATTCTTGGTTTTTGTTTTGCTAAAGTTATTTAAACATAAGATATAAATTAGTGATCATTTTGTTGGAGAAGTAATAAATGATTTCATTGCACATGTTAAGTGTTCAAATGTTAATTACAGTGTAATTGGTAAAAAGGTTAACTTAACAAAGTCTAGTAACAGTGCTGCTACAATTCATTAAAAGACTCAAGACCATCAAAAGTGAATAAAAAAAAGGTTAACATTATCTTAAAGTATTCTTTGTTATAAATTCAGTAAATTGATTAAAAGACCTCAGAGCCCTTCTCTGACTAAAATAGGGATAGGTGGGCTACAATATTAATCTCAGCATAGAAGGAAAAAATGGTGTCTGACCTCAGAGTCTCCAGTCTACAGTGTGGACTCTCCAGAAAACCACACAGCAGCTTCACTCCTGAATCCTGCAGGTTGTTGTCACTCAGGTCCAGATCTCTCAGATGGGAGGGGTTGGACTTCAGAGCTGAGACCAGATAATCACAGCTGATCTCTGACAAACTGCAGTCCCACAATCTGAATAAAGAATAAAAGATGTAAGTTTAGAAGCATCATATGGATTTATAAAACTATTGGAAAAAACAAACACTGAATATATTTGTTATTGTCTGATAGATAAAATATTGATTATTCATTTATTTATTTATTATATTCATCATAATGTAAAACATTTTTAAATCATAATGTTAATATAAGATTAAATGAAGAGTTTAAGAGGTTCAGAGTGAATTATCCAGTGTAGATTCTTCTTGTTATATTCAGGTTTTAAATGTGGAGCTCAACATTGCTCTGCCACAGTCAATGGACTAAACCACTGAAGAAGAAAACAGACTTTAGCATTAAGATACTCAGTGTGTGTGTGTGTGTGTGTGTGTGCTTGGTGAATTTAAAGTGAATATAACCTAACTTTAGTTATATTGTGTGTTTCAGTTAGAGGGAAATATTATTTCATTGAGTTTATAGTTTTATTCTTTTAATAATAATAAAAATGTTTTATTTCTTCTCAAATTTGATTCTTGTGTGATTCTTGGTTATTTGTTTTGCTAAAGTTATTTAAACATAAGATATAAATTAGTGATCATTTTGTTGGAGAAGTAATAAATTATTTCATTGCACATGTTAAGTGTTCAAATGTTAATTACAGTGTAATTGGTAAAAAGGTTAACTTAACAAAGTCTAGTAACAGTGCTGCTACAATTCATTAAAAGACTCAAGACCATCAAAAGTGAATAAAAAAAAGGTTAACATTATCTTAAAGTATTCTTTGTTGTAAATTCAGTAAATTGATTAAAAGACCTCAGAGCCCTTCTCTGACTAAAATAGGGATAGGTGGGCTACAATATTAATCTCAGCACAGAAGGAAAAAATGGTGTCTGACCTCAGAGTCTCCAGTCTACAGTGTGGACTCTCCAGAAAACCACACAGCAGCTTCACTCCTGAATCCTGCAGCTTGTTGTCTCTCAGGTTCAGCTCTTTCAGATGGGAGGGGTTGGACTTCAGAGCTGAGACCAGATAATCACAGCTGATCTCTGACAACCTGCAGTCCCACAAACTGAATAAAGAATAAAAGTAAGTTTAGAAGACAATGTTCCTGTTTGAAATCATTCAGTGTTTAATAATCTGTTCAGAGCTGAAGAAGGTTTACAATGTACAAGTTTAGAAAATGGAAACTCCAAACACACATGGCAGTTAGGATTAGGGATGTAAGGATGTATCGTGACACGAGTAAAAATCGGTACAAATGTGACGATTCGCACCGGTTGACAGAAAAAATGAATCACGGATGCAAGAGACGTAGGATATGTTCTTTTTTAAAAATGTTTTGTTCAGAAATAGGTTACGTTATCTTAAAAAAAGTCACTGGTTGGTGATTCATTTGTTCAACGTCAGACGTCAAGTCACGTGAGTTACGTCACTACGTAGGTACGGGGCACAGAACGAGGGAAGACATGGCGACGGTAGGCAACAACTTTGAAATAGAGGATGCACCGAGCGGTTATAAATCACCTGTGTGGCGGCATTTTGGATTCCCCATATACACAAATACAACCGGTGAGAAATGGACAGACAAAACCAAAACAGCATGTAAATATTGCAAGAGACTGCTAACATATACCGCCAACACCAGCAACATGCAGCAGCATATTAGCCGCCATCACAGTGAGAAGCAAAGTAACGTTACGCCACCTCCTGAGCGAAAACTGCCGAGGGGGCAAACCACCCTGACGAGAGGCTGCAGCTCCTAAAAGAATCCAGTTATTCTTTATTATTTAAGGGAATAACTACTTCAGTACATTTTATATTCTTTTGTTATTTAAGATATTGAATTACACCAGTTAACACCAGTTTACTTGTGAGATTGTTTCTAAAGAAAGGAGATATTTTTCATGTATTTTCTTGTTTAAGATGACCATGTTTTATAAGAGGACACAAACTGTTTTACAGAGTTTCTGTAAAGAAAGCACCTCTAAGATGTTTTTCCTACGAATAAAAGAATTTTATTTGGTCATAATTTGTCTGTAGCTCATTTTGAAAAAAAAAAAAAAATCGTGAGAAAATCGTATCGTGAACAAAATATGGTGAACCGTATCGAATCGTTACATCCCTAGTAAAGAGTGCGATACTGCGGGTATATGAGCTGGTGCCTGAGGCATATAGACAGCGTTTTCACAGCCTTAGAAAGACAGCAGGCCAGACGTACGCTGACTTTGCCAGGGAGAAAGGGATCCTGTTTGACTGCTGCTGTTCAGCTTGTAAGGCAGATGACTTTGTTTCTATACGTGAGCTGATGTTGTTGGAGGAGTTTAAAAACTGTGTGCCTGAGCGGACTGTTGATGTAAATAGGACTGTATATTTAAATAGCGTAATAGCTGCTATATCTTTCTCTGGTCCTAAGGCAGATAAACAATGTTTTTTAGTCATGAACCTGACCTTCTAATTGCCGACTGCACTGAGTGGAAGCATAAGCAGCAGGCTGCAATTTCAAAGCAGCCCAAGGGTGTGGGGTTAGTTAAAACGGTGTCCTCCAGTTGTTCACCGTCCACCGTTCAAAAAGTGTCTGATGAATGTTTCAAACCTTTAACTTTCCCTGTATTTGTCTCACTCACAGGAATCCAGTCAGTGTTGTGAGACACTGGTGGCTCCCAGTCATTCATCCTTTCCACTGTGCTGCCTTTGAGTGAAGAGTCTGCCTGTGACGCGAGTACCATCGTAAGAGGTATCATGATGGGTTTTGTACCTGCACCTCTCCACCGCGTTCACATTCAGTCTAACCTTAAAACTGGTTTCTTCCCGGTAGCTGTGCGTTCCTCGTTCCCCATCGATGGTATAGACTTTATTATGGGTAACGACATAGCTGGGGGGAAGGTATATCCATCACCTGAAGTTGTTGACATCCCTATTGCAGAGTCTAGACATGATGATGTGGTCCAACGACGCCCTGATGTGTCTTCAGTTAGCACTATGGATGTTTATCTCTGTCTAAATCTGTTTTTGTTTCTGCCTTGTCTGAGGACAGGTTGCCACCTATTGGTGAATTGGAGAACTGCACTACAGAACCAGAAAGGTGTGAAGGTGTGGCAGAACCTGTTGCTGCTGGAAAATAGTTTAGGTGTATCCAGCAGTAATCCTTGGAGCTCCCATTGTCGGCTGTCTCTTAAGCAAGCAAGGATACAACCTAGAGGTAATGCACAAGAAGGGGGCTGATAATGTGGTGATGCCCTGTCCCGTGGGGGAAAAAAATCAAATGTGTTGTACGTTTTATCGGAGGGTAAGTGTATTCTGTGTTGTAGTACTTTTTCCTGTTAGCAAACTAATAGTTTGCACTTATGGGAGGGGGTGTTAGGTATGTGTGTTTTGGCCTCTGCTCTGTCCTGTGTCCTGTTCCAGGTGGCGCCCTCCCCTCCAACCGGTCAGGCACACCTGCAGTAGTTTAACAATCATGCTGATTGCTTTAAAGCTGCCTCGATGGAAGCAGACGAGGCCAGTGGGCCAAACCACCGGATAGTGTTGTGTTGCTAGAAGTTGTTTTTAACATCTATATTCAACGTAAACGCTGAAGTATTAATGGTTTTGTTTCATGACAGCGGACACTTTGTATAATGTACTGTTATAGTGTTGTTTGCTCAATATTTGATTGTATTGTTCAAAAACTGTTAAATACACAATGTGGGGCTGAACATAGTGTACAGAAATACAGAGTTTGGTTACTTTAAAGGGGCAGTATGAATGAAATCAAGTTTGCAATAACTTAATGTATTTATGAGTTATGTACTGTGAATATTTCTAGTCACTTTTAAAGTATAGAATATATACTTATACTGGAGTTACTGGTTGTTAAAGCAGATTCTGGCCCTGTCGTGTTATACAGGTCTGGTTTTAAGAGTGGAAAAGATGGCAAGCTAATCGAACCCAAGAACAAGGATTCAACTTTCCTTGGAACTCAGATTTTCCTTGTTACAATCATCACATCCCTGCCAGTGCGGTAGGTTACATGCAGCCGGAGACTCTCACTGTTCTCACGTCCCCAGTTCACTCACACATCCAGCACATTCCCCTCTTTGACTCTGACTGCAACTAAAACTGACTGAATGAACTTATCACTTGGACTGCTTCCCTGTGCTGGGATCTACATTGAAAGACACTTGTAGTGCTGTGGATGGGTGCTGATCGGTTCATGTGTTGGGTCCTTAGTTGGTTTTGAGAAGGTTTTGTGTAAAATGTTTGTTTTGGTTAATCCTTTCACTCAAATGGTTTTGAGATAAATTAATATTGATACTTAATCTGTCTCTAGTTCTCTCATTACAAACATTTCATTTCTATACTTTTTGTTACTGTACCAACTGTTGAGTCATTTGGAAAGACGCACAACTGCATGCACTACAGTCAGTGAACTGACCTCAGAGTCTCCAGTCTACAGTTTGGACTCTGCAGTCCAGCAGACAGTGTCTTCAGTCCTGAATCCTGCAGCTTGTTGTAACTCAGGTCCAGATGTCTCAGATGGGAGGGGTTGGACTTCAGAGCTGAGACCACAACTTCACAGTGAGTCTCTGAGAGTCCACAGCCAGAAAGTCTGTTATGACACATATTAGAAAATATGTTATTATGAAAGACACACTTTATATTGACTTTATGGATTTGAACAGTTTGACATTTGCTGTTTTGGTGAACATTTGCTTTTCACATCAGTGGTTCAGATAATCTTATCTCACTGTGTTTGACATGAAACAATCATTCTCATCACTCTCTCTCATACCTGAAGACTGCAGATCACCACTCACTCACTTCGCCCTCCACTTCCAAGTGTATAGGAGAAACTACGGTGGCCATGAAATGTACAAAAAAAACAAAAACAGCCCTATCAAGGGCCAGTGTTTTGTTTGTCCCTTTTAGACTACTTTAGAAAAAAAATGAAGGTGTAGCGAAAACATAATGATTCTTATATCTGGGTGATTTTAAACTACTGAAAACATACCTATGAATATTATATTCCATTATTACTTTTAAACCTTTAAAGCCAAATCAGAGAAAATGTCTTATGTTACTTACTAGTTGTATTCGGGCTCTGTGAGGCTTCTGCTGCTCAGACAGAGAACAGCCTAAAGATCACAACTAATGTCTCCTGTCTCTGCTTTTCCTGGACACAACAGGTTGTTAGTGTGTGTTATCTCATTACAACACATTTCCAAGGACTTTAAAAGCCTTCCTCATGTTATTGTGACAAAGTTTGACAGATAAAATAGTTGGTTTGATCAGGTGAGAAACTTTTCCTGCCCACTGCAACAAAGCTCCTGTGTAACAGTTTAACAAGATAGAAATGTATTTTATTTTCTGTCATTCAGGCTCCTTGACATGTGTACCTCTAGTTGCTAATTCAGGTCATGATAATACTGTAAATGGGTTGCAGTAATATTGTGCTGATGGTGAGTCATAGTGCATATTAAGACTTTGAGAAGTATTTCTGTTTAACTTAACAGCTGATTTGTACATTTATAAATTGTAAATGTTATTCCAGCAGTTCAGTATGGACCCTTGTGTTGTAAGGTGAAATGTAAATGAGTTATAATAATGATGATAGTGTGAATAAGAGACACAGTTTGTGTAAATGAAGAGAAAAAGATAAATTCTGTTTAATAAAGACAGAACAGCCTGCTGAACCATCACAACTAACGTCTCCAGTCTCTGCTTTTCCTACAAAACAGGACACAATATCTGTTCACTGCTCACTCATGCTTGAGGCCTGTAACATGAACAATGTAAAGTACAATCTTTAAATCCAGCTTTTTAGTTTTTCATTTTCTTATAAGAGGTTGGTGTGGCGTCCCCAAACATCCTGTGTGTTCACTCTTAAAACCATTACAAACAAAATTATAACTGTATGACAGAAATTCTCTAGAACTTTAGAAATCTCCTTTGGAAAATTATACAGATCTTATATTAAACTCTAAAAACTCATTTTGTTCTGCCAAGTTTTCATGTCGCCTCCATCACCCAAAGGAAGATAAACAGAAGGCAAAATGTCAAATGTAACAATTATTAGAAATAAATAGAATAACTGTGTTTGTTAATTTGACAGCTATAAACCTCCAACTGAAAAATCAACATGTTTGCACTCACAGCCTCTGAACCAGCTCAAGAACATCTGTGACAAAATACAACTGACATATATTTTAAAAGGAAGATTATTTTTAAAATAATTCTAAAAGAATTAATAGCATGACTGATAAACACTGCTTTATAATGTTAATCACATCTGGACTTACACAGCCTTTCTGCAGTTCCTCACAGCTGGAATCAGTCTCTGTCGTCCCTGGTCTGATGTGTTGTACTTCTTCAGGTCCAACTCATCAAGAACCTCCTCTGACATCTGCAGCATGTAGGCCAGAGCTGAGCAGTGGATCTCAGAGAGTTTCTTCTCTGATCTGTTCTCTGACTTCAGGAACTCTTGGATCTCCTGATGGACTGAGTGGTCGTTCATCTCCATCAGACAGTGGAAGATGTTGATGCTTCTGTCAGGAGAGATATCATCTCTGTTCATCTCCTTCAGGTTGTTGATGGCTCTCTGGATGGTTCCTGGCCTGTTGTCTGTCTGACCCAGCAGGCCTCCTAAGAGTCTCTGGTTGGACTCCAGAGAGAGGCCATGAAGGAAGCGAACAAACAGGTCCAGGTGTCCAATTTTACTTTTGAGGGACTTTTCCATGGCTCTCATCAAAAAGATCTTCAGACTATCATCATTTCCAAAAATCGTGGAAATCTTCTCTAGAAAAGTCTTCGGTTTTGTGTCCCTGCTGTAGTCTTCCCCCAAGAAACCCTCCAGTACCTCTGTGTTCCTGTTGGTGTAACAGTGGAACATGTAGACTGCAGCCAGAAACTCCTGAATGCTCAGATGAACAAAGCAGTACACTGATTTTTTCTGGAAGATCACACTGTCTCTTTTGAAGATCTCTGTACAAACTCCTGAGTACACTGAGGCCTCTGTGACATCAAGACCACACTGCTCCAGGTCTTCTTGGTAGAACATGATGTTTCCTTTCTCCAGCTGTTCAAACGCCAGCCTCCCCAGCTTCAGAAGAACTTCCCTGTCAGCCTCCATCAGCTCCTGTGGACTCTTCTTATGTCCCTCATCATACTTCTGCTTCTTCCTCTTTGTCTGAACCAGCAGGAAGTGTGAGTACATGTCAGTCAGGGTCTTGGGCAGCTCTCCTCTCTGGTCTGTAGTCAACATGTGGTCCAGAACTGTAGCAGTGATCCAGCAGAAGACTGGGATTAGACACATGATGTGGAGGCTCCTGGAGATCTTGATGTGTGAGATGATTCTATTGGACAGATCTTCATCACCGACTCTCCTCCTGAAGTACTCCTCCTTCTGGGCCTCAGTGAAGCCTCGTACTTCTGTTACCCTGTCGACACATTCAGGAGGGATCTGATTGGCTGCTGCAGGTCTGGAAGTTATCCAGACGAGAGCCCAGGGAAGCAGATTGCCCTTGATGAGGTTTGTCAACAGCACATTGACTGAAGACTTCTGTGTGACGTCAGACACAACCTCATTGTTGTGGAAATCCAGTGAAAGTCTGCTTTCATCCAGGCCGTCAAAGATGAACAAAGGTTTACAGACAGCGAGCTGCTCTGCTGTGACCTTCTGTAATGTTGGATGGAAAACATGGAGCAGCTTGAGAAGACTGTACTGCTCATCTTTGATCAGGTTCAGCTCCCTGAACGAAAGCAGAACCACCAGACTGACATCTTGGTTTTCCAAACCCTCTGCCCAGTCCAGAGTGAACTTCTGTACTGAGAAGGTTTTTCCAACGCCAGCAACGCCGTTCGTCAGAACCACTCTGATGTGTCTCTGTTGGTCAGGTAAGGCTTTAAAGATCTCGCGGCACTTGATTGGAGTGTCATGGAGGGTCTCCATCTTGGAAGCTGTCTCAAGCTGCCTCACCTCATGTTGGGTATTAACCTCTTCACTCTGTCCCTCTGTGATGTAGAGCTCAGTGTAGATCTTGTTGAGGGGGGTTCCACTTCCTGTTTCATCAGTTCCTTCAGTCACATGTTTACATCTGGTCTTCAGACTGATCTTATGTTCATCTAAAACCTCCTGCAGACCACTATCTGCTGAAAGAGACAAAACACAGCAGGACAGCTGCTCCTCCACAGAAACATGACTCCTCTTCTTCTTTCTGGGGAGATAAAGTAAAATCACTCAGATTAGAAATCATAGTTATATTTCAATGTAAAAAAGCTGAGTTGAGCTTTTACTGAATCACAATATCTGAGATATTGTCTTCTTGATCAAACAACAATCTGCTCCAAAATATGTGACAGCAGCTGCAGCCTGAAGAGATCAAACTGTTATTTTCATTCTGCTTTTATTGATAAAGATGTTTAACTGAGTCACAGTGGGGCAGTTTGCATTCTTATATTTTAGTCTACAAACTTATTTTAATGGAAAATCTTAATAGACAAACAAACAGGAGCACAGAACAGAACCTCATTAGCAGGTAATAAAATCTCTTCTACCATATTGGCCAGAATATCAGACAACACTTATCACAAGATGCCTCTCTCTTTTCCAACAGCTGTGTTTGGAAAAAGGCTTTTTGAAGATCAGAAACAATTTCAGACTGCTGATGTTGGGAAACTTTCTCAGAGACACTGTTGATCTAAAAGATGGCTCCATTTTCCTTTGTAAAAATAAAAGATGAAGTACTTGAACTTGAAGTAACTCCGTAGATGAAGTTTTATAACTAGGTTCAGGAACAAAGACCACGCCCTGCAATCATCTCATTCCCGCTCAAAACCTACTTAAGCACACCTTATCCGTTCACTCCTTCCTTGACTCATTTTTCACATGATCAAGCGTCAGACAGGAAACACAAGAATGAATACCTCGAACCACAGAGAACGAGCTCATCCTTAACCCTTCACACATGTTTGAAGACGAATAGCAAACTCACAAAATCTCTGTCCTCTTCCTCCCCTACCATTCCTTCCCGTCAGCCACCGCGGCTCCACTTACCGGCGTCGCATCCTTGGCAACGCTGATGACGTCACGACGCATGCCACGGCCCAGCCATCCTCAATCAGCTCAATCAATATAGTAAACAATGAGAAACTGGAAGGTATCTCAATTTCTGGCAGAGAATTAAAAATCTCCCAACTGGCAGATGACACTACACTTTTTTTAAAAGACAAGAATCAACTCTCTAATGCTATTACTCTAATTACCCAATTTTCTAACGCCTCAGGTCTCAGACTTCATATGTCCAAATGTGACATTTTGTCTTTGCATAATTCCAATGATTGTACAATTGAAAACATCCCAGTAAAGACTTCTTCTTCTTCTTCTTCTTCTTCTTTAGGAATATTCATAACTAAAGATCTTACAGCTAGGCAACATTTACATTTCTCAAACAGACTAAAAAAGACCAAATCTATTTTTAACATTTGGCTTCAAAGGGACTTGTCTGTCCTAGGTAGAGTTCTTCTCTCTAAAGCAGAAGGCATTGTCCCTATTTGTAAGTGAACCAACTACCACACAAGTCAATAACATTTTTTTAGACTTCATCTGGAAAAATAAATCTCATAAACTCAAGAAATGTGTACTCTCCAACAGTAAGGCAGAAGGAGGTCTTGAAGTCCTAGATTTTATCGGCACTGTCAATACCTTTAAGGTTAACTGGTTGAGAAAGTGTCTCAGAAACCCTGACTCTATCTGGTTTTTCATCCCAAACTACATCTTTAATAAAATTGGAGGTCTTTCCTTTCTTTTGAAATGTAATTTTATCCCAATAGATTTAATTAAACTTATAAAAAGCCACTTGAGTTACAGTGAATATAAAACAAGTCAACCTGTACTGATGCTGTACTGATATAGAGTTGTGCCTAGAGGCAAGTTTTACTGGAGGTCCCAAATAGAGGACATCAACTGGAGAAGAGCTTGGCTTCTACCCCACAAATATTGCTTATCTAACAAGGCTAAAGAAGTAATCTTAATACAGAAACAATTTAGCATCTGTTTTTTTATTGTGATATATCTAAAAGTTTTGGAGTGATGTTGAATCTCATTTTTTTGATGCTGCTAACTCTGTCTACTCTCTTACCCTTAAAGATGTTATTTGCTACTATGTTAACCCAGAAGATAATGCTCTTGAACACCTGATGAACTTTGTTATCCTATATGCAAAATTCTTTATTCACAAACACAAATTCACAAAATCAGTACATAAATTTGCTCCTTTTCTCCTGGAACTGAGCTCTTTGCTTAAATCTCTGATTTTGTTAAATAACAAAAAAAAGTAATACCTTACTGAGTCATTATGAAAAGTTTTTCCCTGAAGCCCCTGTTTGAACTATTTTCTATTTATTTATTTTAATTATTATTATTATTATTATTATTATTATTATTCAATTTTTTACTCTATCTTTGATTTATTTATTATTTATCGGCAATAAACCCCTTGGCAGATGGTCTAAACGATATCAAACACGCCACGCTTACGAGTCGATTCTAAGTCTTTTTGGGGGCTCTTTACAAGAGATACGAAGAGACAGCTCCCCCACTCAGTGTCTCGCAACCCACTCAGTTCCCTCTTACATTGTACACGAACCCCCCCATCCATTAATTCATCAGCCAACCGACCTTCATCCCTCATCCCTCAGTATACCACATCTGTTCACATTTGTTCATTATGTGCAATAAACTTGTCATATTTCATACATTTGATGGCGTGGTCGTTGTTAGTGAACCAACAACATTAAGGCTACAAACAACCCATAATGCATCACTCTGTGTAGGAGCCACTGTCACACCGGTCCATTTAAAAAGAATATCTGATGTTGTTAATATGTGATTGTCTAGTCCTCGAGTATAATACAACCCCACTGTTTCAAATGTCATTTCTAGAAATAAATATTGTCTTATATTTGGACAAATACAATCATATAATGGTGATAATATAATGATAGAAACTGAAGTTAGTAGCAGTTCTCTTACTGTGTGTCTGAGGGTTCAGGTTCATTACTGAAGTTTGGAGGAAAATCTTTAGACCGATCACTCTTCATAGACAGACAGCTGGACATTGGAGACACTGCTCTGTCCTCCTCTTCCTCCACACAGTCACTCATCTTCTGCACTTCAGAGAGCGTTGAGACAAATATGTAGTTCATGCAAGTCATACAACATGAAGACAAAGAAGACAAAAAGGTATTTTAATATCTAACATTTATTGTATCTACAGGATTATAACACAATATATTGACTGTGTGTACAGTTTAATAAAAGACCATCAAACAGACTTTAACTGAGGCTGTACTTAGTGATAATGTTTTACTGAGTTGTGTTATTGTGTCAGGTGTACCTGAAGTAGCAGAAAATGTATTGACTATAAAACTCAACCCCATAAAACAAAGCTACTGTCACTGATCCCTCATCTGCTGGACTTCAGTCAGTCTGATGCAGGAATTATATGCATACAGTACACGAGGGTCCCAGTAACATTAATATTGTCATCAGAGGGTGTACGAGTAGGCTCTGTGTGGACATCCGTGTTCCTTCAATTTATTGTGAGTGTCTGCACGATCACTACACTGTGAGGAACACGTCCACCAAGCAGACTGCAGAAAACAGTATAAACAGAACTACTACCACAGTGTCCACAGCTCTCTGTGTACGCGTCTGTTTGTGAGTATATTCAGACTGAGAGAGAACCAGTAACACTGACTGAGACACATACACACACACACACACACACACACACACAGTGTAATGACTCTGCTTTGAATGTAAGCTTGTTTTTGTGAGTTAGCATTAAGTCTGTTGTTCATTATTCATCCAATCACACTGTATTCACAGATGAATCAGAGACTTTGACAGTAAAACAATAATAATGTTGTATTAACACTCACCCTGACTCTGACGTCCTTTTTGTCCTTCTGCTCTGTCGACTTAAAATGGAGTCTGAACCCTGAACACTTTCAGTTTTGTTGTCCCCTCCCTGTTTTCATACACTGCCTGCAGTGTTGTTCCTCCCATCATCATTTACAGGAAGTCACATGATCATCTCTATCTGCTGGAAACACTCAAACTGAAATAGATAAAGTCCCCCAGCTAACACAAGTAATATTCACAGAGCATTCACTCTCTGATCAACATCCTCTTGCATTAGAAAAGTACACAGTAAAACAAACAATGAGCTAATATAACAAAGACCAAGTGTCAAGAAAACTCTGAAGAAGAAGCCTATGAAGTGTGTATGATTGTCAAATATTTAAAACATACATTAGACTGAGAGAGAATTGTTAAACACATCTCTGATTCCATATTGACAGGAAATAATCTGCATTAAATATAATATGAAATATCTATAAAATATGTCACTGTGTGCCGTCAGTTTAATTAATGATAAAAAATGTCCCTGAAGGAAAAAGGTTGGGAACCACTGATGTAACTTATTATTTTTCAATGTTAGATTATTGTTGTTCAAATTCTCTAAATGCTGATAAGGAAAGATGCTTCAATGCTTCCTTTCTGATCTCCTTTAACATACCGTCCTTTACCAAAGGAGATAATGCCATCCCACAATTCCTTGCACCAGCAACATTTAAAGCAACACATCCAGATCCATAAATACAGATTTATTCTCTTTTAAATGTTTCCATAGAGGAGCCACATTAGTTTCTCCCATAATTCCTCTCTCCTTCTGTTGCAGTTCCTCTGTGGTCCAGCAGGAGGCAGTATAACTCCACAGAAAGATCAACCTGCCTGCTGTTTCTCTTTCTGCTGAGTAAACCTCTGTTCTCTACCTCTCATCTCCTTCCCTTTATTCTTTCTCCTCTCTGCTTTGTTTCCTTTCTCTCTTGTCCTCCCCTCTTTTCCTCACCTTAAGTGTCCCCCTTCACTTCTTTCCTCTCCTTACTCCCTTCTCTTCTCCTCGGCCTTCTTCTTGTCCTTTGTCTTCTCTTTTCCTTCCTCATCTTAATTGATTGAGACATTTTGCTGATGATCAACAAATGATAATTATTACAGAAGACAGTGTGTGTGTGTGTGTGTGTGTGTGTGTGTGTGTGTGTGTGTGTGTGTGTGTGTGTGTGTGTGTTATCAGTAAGCGTCAGCCGGCTCTCTGCTTTGTTTTTAGGTCACTTTTACATCGACTCTCCTTAAATCAGTCTGAAAGCAGCTCCACTCTCTAAAATAGAAACAATTAGTGTGGGCTTGACATTCAACTCTTTCCTTCCTTCCTTTCTGTCTTTTCTGTCCTTTTAGGGTTTTTGTCTGTTTTTGGGGGAGAAGTAGGCCGTCTGTTGGTCAGCAAGGAAGATTTATTCATTAAAGTGTGTTTGAAATGATATAAAAGATAATAATAAAAAACAAATCAGATGTAAAACTACAGGAAATCTACAGAAAGATGAACAAAAACACAAAACATTGGCTTCTCAAAGAGGAAAATACCATCTCAACTGTGAGGATATGTGACAGACAGAAGGAATGAAGAGCTACACAAATGAAAGAAAAAAACACATTTCAAAATAAGAGACATTTTTATTTCTTTTTAAAGGAACAGTACAACATTAGTTACACACTGCAACTATTCACGCACACAGGTCGCACTGACACCTTCTGAAGTCTTGTGAGGTTTCCAGGTTTGTACCATCAGACCAAATATAGAATATTAACATTTGCACGCTGCCTAAACGTCACATTGATTTCATCCCTACGTATAGGGAATAAAATGTTATTAACACGTGAAAATATTACGTAAAAGGCTTCAGAATGAACCTTTAAATCATAAGTGAAACTATAACTGTGTGTGTTTGATATCCCTCTGGAGAGTGAGGTCAGGGAACACACTCATCTTTCCCCGCCGACCGCCACGAGACCTCATCAACACCTTGCTGCCATGGCAACAGAGAACACACACACACACACACTCACACACACACACACACACACACACAACCAGTGTGAATGTCTCCTATGGGACTCCCGAACACTTCCTAGAAAGGCTGGGGAGGAGGTTGAGGAGGAGAGGATGGAGTTAAAAACAAATCCGGTCAAATTTTCAAAATAAAATACCCTGTGCAGACTCCAGAAGTCAGTCAGTCAGAGGAGGTTTTAAACAGAGAAACACACCGTTTTGTTTCCTTTGTTAAGGACACAAATACACAAATATAAACAACTTATGGCAGGCAACACGCTCTGAAGGGATTTTGGGGTTATGGATAAATCTGCTGATTATTTTATTGATTAACACACTTTTATTGGCTCTATATAAAACATCAGAACAGGAAGCGGACGCTTACAAATGTTTTATTTTGTTCAACAAACATTTCATAACCACCAAAGTTCACTGTTAGAGAGTGTTCAGATTTTTATATTTGACATTTTTACTCAAAAATGAAAACTACAATTATTGCAGATTGAGTTTTTCTGAATGGATCGATCAGCTTTTATTGTGTCTCAGTGGTTTCCTGTTGGACAGCAGGGCGGTGTGACTGCGTTACGCGTCCTGCGTGTTTGACAGACAGGAATCAGGGAGAAAAGTGGCCAAATGAATCAGCAGCGAGGATGTTGTCTGTATTGATCAGCTACAGTCAATAATCAGATTAATACTATTACTGCAATTCTCTAATGGACACACACACACACACACACACACACACACACACACACACACACACACACACACACACACACACACACGCACACACACACACACTGTGTATCTGTTCCAGCCCCACTGGGAGGGAAAACACCCACAATCCCACAGGAGGGATTGACCCTGTGCAAGGTGAAGTGAATGAGTGTGTGTGTGTGTGTGTGTGTGTGTGTGTGTGTGTCGATCCACGGGGTTATGGGTTCATTATTTTTAGTTTCATTACCAAAATATGATGTTAAAAATATAATTTGCAACACAAACACTGTTTAAAGGTCCAGTGTGAATCTATCTATGGACAGAAAGGTAATATTATATTTATATGTACGTTGTCATTAATCTATAATCACCTGTAAATAAGAATCATTGTGTTTTTATCTTCACACACAGCAGGATGTTTGTGCTTTTCGTGGCCACCGTAGTTTCTCCTACATGCTTGGAAATGGAGGAGGAAGACGGCGCCTGCTCGCCCTGGCTCATACGCCAATATAGTTTTCTAGCTTGCAGGTGTACTTCCTTCCAGTAGTGTTTCTCCCGACATGCGATCACTGCTCAGGGAAAAATAAAATAAAACATAAAAGAGTCATATTGGACCTGCAGTTTGACAAACATCTCTTTTATAATGGTGGTCTGTGGGGAAAATGCTTTTTGGGGCAGAGGGGAATCTTTTGCTGCAATACCACAAGTGGCCACTGGGAAACATTTTAAGCAAGACTGAGCAGCGCCTCCGTATCCAGGTCTTAATAATTGATCCGTAGTTTAGATAAGTAGTTCCCAACCTTTTTCTTTTAGGGACCCCTTTTCTATCAGTGAGTAAACTGACATATTTTATGGATATTTCTTATTATAATTAATAACAATAACAGTAGAGAAGAGCTGATAAACAGTGAACACAATAACTGCAGGACGTTTCTGTAAAAACGAGAGATTCATATGAATCTTGTGCAGATTATTTTCCTGATATTGTTCATACAATTCTCTGTGTCTATTATGTATCTTTTAATTTTTAACAATCAATTCAACCTCTGGTGTAGAGACACAACCGAGGACCAGGGTTGATGTAGTGGCCACAGTTGTTACTGCACGATCACATGATGATAATTATAATTTCATCTATTTGGTCCAATAAAATGTAGAATTATGTGTCTCTGGGCTGTAAATGTAAGTGGATATTTCTTTTATATGGATGCTTTAAGATAGACCGGCATCTCCTGACCTCCTGCTGCTATTGGATGTAAATTGTGTGCAGCAGAACAATCCCAAAATGAACATTATGTGACTTTAATTCACTAAATTAAACTGGATTTCAGCTGTAAACTGTTGTTCAGTTTCATGCTGCCAGAGGGCGCTGTTCAGCACAGTTCACTCTCCATCAGTGGAGAGAAATGAGGTGCAGATTCTCAAAGTCAGCAGAAAGAAAACAACAAAAGCTGGTATATTTATACATATATATATATATTTATCAGTGGAAATGGGTCAATTCTAAAACAACGAACCTTAATGCCTTGACAACTGTATAAATGTATGAAAGGGAACTGTTCCTTTAAGAGAGTAGAGTTAGATTTTTGGCAGGCAGACAGATGGGGAAGCTCCATTTAACATATGCTGAGGAACTCGTGTGTGTGTGTGTGTGTGTGTGTGTGTGTGTGTGTGTGTGTGTGTGTGTGTGTGTGTGTGGCCAGAGACAGGGTTACATAACCAAGTAAACAAGTCAGCACAAACACACACTTTCTCTTTCTGTCTCTCAGTTCAGCGCCTTGCTCAAGGGCAACGAGGCAGTTCAGAGAGGACAGTCTGTGTTCCAGTCAGAGATCGTCCGTAGAGCCGAACATGTGAAGATGTGCTGCTTTTCTCTTTATTATTGTTGTTTAGGGTTTTACTCGAACTAACAAGCTATTGAAACAAATCACACAGAGCTCCTGGAAACTGGGATTTCAGACATTTTATCACATTTGGAGCGTTCAGCATCAGGATGTTACCGGCCACAGTTTCCTGTAAAATGCAAAGTTTTCAGTCAAACTGGTTGTGAAGGTGGTGATACTAAAATTAACAAAGGGAGGAGAAAAAAGGGATGTTAAAAGTTTAAGTTTTTTGATTAAAAACTCAAATTAGGGGCTTCAATACGGAGCCCCTAAAAGGACATGGGAAAAAAAAAAAGAAAAAAGAAACGTTTCGAGTGCACTAGATCCCTATCTAGTGAGCACTAGATACTATCTTGTGCGCACTAGATACTATCTAGTACTATCTAGTGCGCACTAGATACGATCAGTGTTTTTAATTTTAATATTCAAATGAGTATTAAACTAATTTGTCTGTAACTAAAAAATAAATGTAAATTAATCTGTAACCTCTTTTGTTACAGTCTGCATTTAAATGCCCTGTCCTGCAGCCTGATCTAGTGCGCACAAGATAGTATCTAGTGAGCACTAGATACTATCTAGTGCGCACTAGAAGCGTTTCTTTTTTTTCTTTTTTTTACATGTCCCTTTAGGGGCTCCGTACTTCAAACTACATATCCGGCACAAAAACACAACTCTACTTTTAAAATGTGACTTTGTTTGGCAGATATATATAATATATAATAAAATAATGGCAGCGGTTGATAAGAAGAGAGCAGGTTTTTGAGGCTTTATTGGTTGTTTGTAACAATGATATAAAAACTGCTGTTTGACTTGTTAAGTGTGGCGTTAGTGATGGAAATATAGTTTTCTTGTATCTTTTATTAGTCTTTTAATGAATCAGCCCTCAGTGATCTTTGAGTTTAAATAAAGGTATATATTCATCATATTGCTCTTTCTTGTGGTACATAAATATTGAAGTGGTCCTCCTATAAGATGACAACAGCAGTGCGGTGACTCACTTGTGTGTTAGTTCGTCTCTCAATACTTTCTGGTTCCTACGTAACTCTTTAAAAACACCTCAGGAGCTCAGCAATATCCTAAAACACCAGTTCACTGCAGTTTTTAGTCAAACGAACAACAGGAGGAATAGTGCATTTGTTGGGGACTATTTTCAGCGGCGGATTAATCCACATTCTGTGCTTTAGAGCAGTGGTTCTCGAGGCTTTCTTGATTTTAACTCAAGTCGATATTATTATTTAAGATCTAAACTTTGAAGACCTGAAGTTATATTCACATATATTCCCTCTCTGATCAACAGCCTCGTCCTGCAGGAGAAAACAACCAACGAGCTGAGAGAACAATGAGACGAAAACACTGAATGTGTCAGAAAAGAAGCCTGTAAAGTCTGTATGATTGTTAAAAATGATAAAAATACAGAATACAGACAGAGAATTGTATGAAAAGTCCCTACAGCTATAAATAAAACTGATCTCTGATCAATATTCACAGGAAATAATCTGCTCAAAATTCATCTAAATCTCTGGTTTTACACAAACTTCCTGCAGTTACTGAGTTCACTGTTTGGGTCCATTGTTCAGTTTATCAGCTGCTCTCTGCTGTTATTGTTATTATTGAATATTATATGAATAAAATATACTCAGTTTACTCAGTGATTGAAAAAGAAAATGGTTGTAAAGCGGGACGGTGTGTGTGTTCATGGTGCATCACTGATGTGTTTATAATGGAGCTCTGTGGCACAGAGGAAGGAGGTGTATCAGGCTCTGATACACACACACACACACACACACACACACACACACACACAGAGCGCCTGTTACATTCAGTCTCGGTTTTATATTTTCATGTGATTTATTGACATTAAGACATTTTATTCTGAAATATCTGCAAGGGGGAAAGAGGAGGAGGAGGTGGAAATAAAACAGAGGGGACATGAAGAAGAAGAGAGTAACAAAACAGACGGTTTTCAGCAGCAGCTTCAAGTGTCATCCTCAATCTGCTCTGACACACACACACACACACACACACACACACACACACATACAGTCAGGCAGCATTACATCATGAGTTCGGCTTCATGACACAAGCGGGCAGCGTTAGCGAGCACGACGTGGTGAGGTGAACCCGCGTCGGGTGTGAGATGGAGGGAAGAAACCGCAGAGAGACGGATGCAGACGAGCGTGCAGAGGCAAGGTAGTGTGCAAAAGCAATCTGCCACGGGGGCCGAATCCTACCCAGCATGCTGTGAGAGATACCGGACACCATAAAACCTGTCCGTCTGCGAAGAACGTGATGCTTTAGCTCTGACCTGCTGACGTCACAAAACCCAGAGGGGAAAACGGTGAAAACCCGCCACGCTGGAGTGTAGACACAGACCCAGAGGGCAAGATGTGTCTAAACAAAAGATAAAGAGCTTTATTTTGAAATAACCAGAATACTTGAAAACACTTCCTTTAACTTAAAACAAAAAATGGTTTGCTTCAGCTAACAGGAAGAGGTGGGTTAGACTCAAATGGAGGCGCCTTCACATTTTTCAACAGTGTGTTATTCCTAAAATAATTATACTAGAAGTTAAACCAAACCAACACCTGCTAAGATCCAATAAAACTCCAAATGTTGTCTAACTGATCCGATCGCATCTTGATTCCAATATGTTCTACAGGCATGAACACCCAGATACAGATCACATTTTAATACAATGTTTAATAGGTATAAGGGTTCAGTGTTAAATTTATAATCTGTAACATTTCCTCATTAAACAGTGTTTAAACTTTATGTTCTATATGTTGAGTTGTGTTCTCACATTATCCCAAATGTTTCCAACAATGTTCAAACTCAGAGAAATCTGTAATGGTATTCAGAAGCTGTCATACATTGACTGTTGACAGTCTGAAGCCACATTGTTACCATCCACTGTTTAGATCTTGGTGCTTTTTAACTCTAGATTTGAACCGGATGAAGGATTTTAGTCATCGGACGTCTGGATCTTAAGTTATCAGAGAAACAAGCTGAGCTAACGTTAGCAGCAGCTCGGCTCGCAGCCCCTCCGGGACGTCCTTTGTCTGTCCAACAGCGTGGGAGAAGCAGTGATTGTTAAGGTGGAACTGCTTTATTCAGTGTTTTTACAAACATTTCCACAACAGAAATAAGAACATTGGATAGTTATTTTTCTTCTTGAAACTAAACGGTTTTATTTAATTGTACTATTTGCTTTTGTAATAAATGCGGTGTTAATGTCCCATGTGATTTGCCCTTAAATGTAATTCATTGTTTTTGTATTGAATTTTTAAAAAATGGTATCGCCCATCAGCAACTTATTATCTCTTTGAGGACCAGTGTGTAGGATTCAGTGGCATCTAGTGGTGTAGTTGCAGATTGCACCCCACACTCCAAATTCCAAGTGTGTAGAAGAAACTACAGTGGCTGCAAAACCAGTGTCTGGTTTGTCCATTCTGAGCCACCATAGAAACATGGCGAACACATAGCTATGATATTATATTCCATTTCATTCTCACATACAGAAATAATGAAATAAAACCATCACAACAGATTCAGTATTAAATTTTTTTCTCATTTATTACAGGAGGCTTTTGTTTTATATACAGAGACATGTATTTGCAAAATACTAAAAAGTATTTCAACTCAAAGTACTAAAAAGTATATATATATTTATATATATTCATATTATAATCGTCGTAATTATTATTATTGTCTCTAAAACACCAAGGTGGGGTCACTGAGGCACGGCTTTCGCCTCCTTTACACCGAGGTTTCACTGGCGAGAGTTTTTGCCAACGGTTGCAGAGCGAGAGTACCACTGAGATCAGAGGGAAACCTTGTAACTTGCTGTTTGTCTCTTATTTTTTTATGTTTTTGAAAAAGACTTTAAAAATATGGAAACATTGAATATCTAAAAGTTTTACCAACTCAGTGATGGAGAGAAAAAACACTCAAATTTGGACTTGTGTTGCATTTCACTTTTGTGGTAAACTTTACAATAATCTTTTCCTCTTTCATATTTCAAGTTAAATCTTTGGAGTTACAAGGTTTTCACCCTCCGACTGTGACGTGAACCTTCTCGACTTTTTCCAGCAAAAACACAATAAAACTGCTTGTATCAAGAAACCTCTTATCTCCAACTTTGTGAGTTATATCTTCCAGCTCTTTGTGACGGACTGTGGCCGCAGCCTCATTCTGTCTTAAAAATGTCATTAACGATGAGAGAAATCTTCCCAATTTCGGCTGGAATAAAAAATTTGTGAGATTTCAGGAAGGGGAACATTCCACATATTCTTCCCTCCTTTCCTGAAAAAGGCAACTTTCTCGAGATATGAGGTTTCTGGGGGACTGATATGAAGCCGGAGCCAGTTTTGAGAACCGCTGTGAAACCAGTTGCGGTGTAAACGGGGCGACAGGTGGTTTAAGCAGTGAGAGGATGCCTGGAAAAACCAAATCCATGACGACGAAAAAAGTAAAAACATCGTTATTATTATCCTCATACTGTAAATAAGATACAGCATCACTCACTGCCTGTTTACATAACTGTTGTATTGCATTTATCACACAGTTAATAGTAACAATAGTAATAATAATGAACAATGAAACCACTTGTTTTCTGTGCATTTCCTCCGTGTTGGTACGTAGATGTTTGTCGTTTTGTTTTGAAGGTGACAAAGCAGCTTTTGGTTTTGAAACGGGGAAAAGAAGGCAGGAAGGAGCAAAGATTCTCAGTCTTAGAGTTTGTGTTTTAACGCCCCCCTCAGATCTTTATATGGACTCTTCCAAAACCGCCTGGTAGCACCACATGGACTGACCCACAGCTCAGAGCAAAGATGGCCGTTTTCCTCCAAAGTGAGAGTTTATTTTTGCGTACAATTTGTCATATCAGAGCAGGAAAGAAAGTGACACAGATTCTTTTTCTCTCCGCCATCTTTTGAATCTGGGGTTTTTTCCTTTCCTGCTCGGACATGTTGGGGTTTATTTTGAAGGTTTCCACCTCATACAGTCAGTGCAGAGTGAATTCAGTCCAGGTACGGCGAGCTGAAGTTGGTCGTAATGCTGTGGTTGCAGGTGAACAAACTCTTAAGCTTTATTCCAGTTAACTGTCCTGATAGTGACAGTTAATGTGTTGTTGTGCTCAGTGCAAACCAGAGTCTGAGGTCCAGATTCACTAAAGTTACACTGTGAGGGAAACTTTGTGCATGTTTTTCCTCTTCAGTTGCTCAAGTACTGATATTGCGAGAAGGCGTGGGTGTGCCGAAAGAGCTAGACACAGCAACGGTAGTCTCGCTGCCAATTTCCACCAGTGGCCACTCCCACTGTAAGAGAGGCATCTGTGACACTGGTGACAGGACAAAATGCACTTTTCCCTGCAGACTTTAGTGAATCTGAACCTTTTTCGACCGTTTTTTTAAAAAAGAGAACTAAATCAGCCAATCAGCTCTCTGTGCTGTTTGTTCGACAGCTTATGAGAAAGAGTCACAGCAGTGATGGAGGGGGGCGGTGAGGGACCGTGAACCTCGTTCGATATCAAAAAGCATAAGAATCATTTCAGCCAACCAAATGTTAAACCAATCACATAATCACTCAATCCGCCAGTCAAGAAATCAAAGAATCAACCAGTCCTTCAATCAAGCACATTATCAATCAACCAATGGGAAAGCATGGCTTGGAGTGTTAGGGTTCATATGTAGCAGGCACACTCTGGGTCTATTGCTACTGAAAACAGCCCTTCAGCACAACTGCAACCTGAAATACGCCTCGCAGCAGAGTTCAGCAGTGTCTTAAGTATTTACCTAGTTTATATGGTTATCTATTCTCAATAGAATCTAGTAGAAATAGAGTCCAGACGGTGCCAGTAAAATGTTTTTTTTCTTTTATCTTTTTTAAATTAGTCTAGTAAAGCGTTTAGTAAAGATCCCTCGGGTGACCACGACAACAGAGACGGAGAGAGAGAGAGAGGTTGTTCGAGATAATTGAGATCGAAGCAGACCGAACAAACGCTGTACACACACACTTTGACACTTCATCTTAATAAAAACAAGCGGTAACACTGCTTCGCAGCGGCTTCATGCCAGCGTATTCACCTGTGCATCTGTAAAACCTCAATAACACCGTCAGTGCTGCATCGGGAAAACCAGAACACATCAGGTTTCGCCCAATGCTCCGAGTGTTATCGTGCATTTTCAGGATTTCCCCCAAACATTACTCCACAGATTCATAAAGTGAGAGAAAGCTTCTGTAAAGCCGAGTGTTACCGAAGAACTCACTTACAAGGTATCGGCAAACCGTTATTGCTAGACGCGGTTTGTTTTTTTTGTTTTTGTTTCTCTGTGCAAAATGGATAAAGAGGCGCCTCGCTCGGCCTCTGTTCTTACTCCAGGACGCAGCTAAAAACGTGCAAAAAAAATTAATAAAAACCCAACTTAAATAAAGCAACCAACCCGAAAACAAAAGAATAAATAAATAAATAAAAACGCAGTGTTTGGATTTGAAGAGTCTCCTTTCAAACGCAGATATCCTTCAGGGGAAAACTACGAAATCTTCAATATGTCGCTGAATACTTTTAGTTACTGGTGTACTTTGAAATCATTCAAACGATCCATTTCATTTTCTTATCGAGAAAATAATCTAGTCAGTGACATCCAAAGAGGAATCAATCAATCAATAAATCAATCAGAATTTACAAATTTATTTCCCCTCATTTTAAATGAAACTCTTCATATCGATTAGCGGAAACAGGAAGAAGAAAAGCTTTTAGCATCGTCACGCAGTGTTCTGGAAAAACCTGCTCAGCTGCAGCCATTTGTAAACCGCTCATTTACACTCATAACATGACAGAAACTATAACTTTAGAGATATTTTACTGAAAAAGTACTTGTCTTAAACAAGCTTCAAACTGTTAGAATCCCTTTTTTGGATCATGGACTCGACAAGAAGAGTCTTAATTGACCCACTTTTCATTAGTCTGATATTCACAGAAAATCTAAAACAAGGTCAAACTCCGACCAGGAGCTGCGCCTTGTCACCGGGACCAAAGTATCAGAGGACTGTTGCAACACAGACCTTTTCTCTTGTAACACAAGAAGTTTCTTAACTGAGGCACTGTTGCGTATGCTAACTGTACTAGCTGCTGTTAGCTACTTAGTTCTTTTAGCTGTCTGTACCCGGACTGGGAGCTTGAAGGACTGGGGAAGTTTAAACACTTCAGAATCATTACCACTGTTTCTTGTAGCATTTAACAGACAGCTGTTCAAATATAGATATTTAAATAGTTAATTTAATATCATAGATGTGTATCTATCCAGACTATTGGGTTCAGTCTGGTGACAATTGATTCCTGATCTGAAACATCTTGAAAAGTTTATACTGAAAACAGGAGAAACAATCTGATAAAGTCGTAGAATCATCGATAATCAGCTGCCGTGAAACTGTTTTGACAAGGTTTTTCCAGGACACAGGTGACTGATCAGACGCCAAATCAGTGACCTTTTCATGAAACAAAACAGGGTGAAATCCTGATGCTGATGTGCTGAGCTGATTGTCGCACTCCGGTCAGGGCTGGTCGACGCCTCGAAGAACTTATGCCCATTGAAGAATTCGGTCTAAGCTCTTGTGTGTGCCGAGCCGAACTCAGACCAGACGGATAAGTTAATGACAGCGGGTGATTTGTCAAAAAAGTCCGTACAGCGACATTAAATCCCCTGATAGAGGAAAAACTTTATATAAATAATGGCATTAAAATAAGTAAATGTAAGTGAGCTCCAACAAGAGCACACAGAGCCCTGCATAAATGTCTTTGTTCGGTTGGTAAAATGGGAGTAAAGACTGATGGTTTGTTGCACGCTTAAACATGTTTTTAGGAATTTATATTTTTTGCATCTTTGCCAAGCTTGTCTCAAACCAGCAGTCTGGTCCTTTAACTGCACTAAACAATATTCATCCTGCTTTAAAAAAGGAATTTGAGGTGTTTACGGCTTCAGGGGTTTTATGATATGAACGTCTTTTCTTAAAAGTTTATTTAAGGGGTTTGGAATTTGGATTCAAGAGATTAACGATAAATTCACTTGATGAAATGAAACGTCAGCTAACAGGTGGTTATGTAACAACACGCTGCTGTAAAGTGGTATCTGGGATATTTTATGTGTGTGTTGGACCCTGATACCAGATACCGGTCTTGGCAACTCATATGTCATTGATCAATAATCTGCATCCCTTAACCTCATTGTGCAATGTAGTAATGCAGCAGGAATACGTAAGTCTTCTGTTGAAGTTGTTTAAGTGAAGGTGAGCTAAAAAAAAATCTACTTTAAATTTGGACATTTCGACAAATCACCCAACGGCCAAAAAAGTGACGGACATGGGGGATGTTCACCACCGGGGCAAAACACATGTTGGAAAAGTCCGGGACCGTGTAAAAAATCTCATTGTGCACTTGTATTAGGTTTTGGTGTGTTATCTCAAAGGTTCTCAAAGGAAAAAATAAATACATCCCAGGCCCTTTTTTCCAATGTGTCTTTGCCCAGGTGCGGTAAAGTGACAGCACCTGTAAACTCAAAAGTGCAAAACTGCCAACAAAAAACAGATGAAGTTGCTTCTCAGGTTGTTTTTTTTTTTTCCTGACCGCACCCTCTCCTCTTATCTATTACAACGTGGTAGTTCAGCCACTTTCTCATAGCTAGTGCCACTCCAATGTCGAAAGAGAGAGACTTATTTTTTTTCTTCAACTTACTCTAAAAAATATAAAAAATAGTAATAATCGTACCGCTATTAAAAGACTGGTAACATCAACAAAGTTATACTTTTACTACGAAAAACTTTTTCTTAAATCACGTTGTCATTTATTTTCCCTCCTCTCTCGAGTCTCGGTCAGTCAGAAAGCCGTCGACTGTTAATGCGTTGAGAAACACCACCAGGAACACCATCACTCTTACAGCCAGGCGTACTCTGAGAATATTGATCAACTGTGGGAAGGCACAAACCCCCCCAGGCCAATAAATGATGGATACATCTGATATAGTGGTTTTGACCCCTGCAGCTGAGGTCAAAGGTCAGTCAGTGTTCCGAACCCTCGGCTTCGGTCGAGACCCAAGAGGTCAGAGGGATCTACACTTCTGTCTTTTTACTCCAACAAAGGCAGAGCTGACTTGACAGACGGGGTTTCCCTCTCTGTTATTGCAGTTTTTCTGCTTCCCTTTAAGAAACTCCAAAAAACGCTTGAGTCCAGGAATCTCCACTGGGAACAGGAAATAACATTAAAGGTAGTAAATATTCCACTTTGTTTGCTCCTTAACTTGACTCCTCCTGCAGTTCCTCGCTCATAGCTTCTCTTTGCCGCCTTCCCAGCGTTCCTCAGCTATGGTACATTCAGTAAACAAAAGAACAAACAGGCTTAACCCAAATGCAAGGACATCCTCATTTGTTCATTTTTTTTGCTTTTTGGTTCCTGCTATGGTACCGTTTCCTGCTGTCTGTCAGGGTCGACCACTGACGCCGACTGTTCGCTTGGTTCGCTGCCTGCGGTGTCGACAGCAATTGTTTCTGTCTTGCCAGCGAGCGGGTGAAAGATCTCCGACGTGGCTCGCGTCACACTGTCGTAGGACGGCGGGGACGAGGTGGAGGAAATTGTCTCGGAGCGCTCTATCCCTAACAAACTCGAACCATAGTTTTCCCTCATCATGGCGGCGATGAGCCCTTCTTTCTCTGGTGCATCCTCCCCGAACACTACCTCGCCGCCTTCTTCACCTTCGCTTCCTGCATGTCGGGGTGTGGTGATCTGGCGGTACAAGTAGGAGGCGGCCTTCATCTGCCGCCTCACCAGGTGTCTGCGGTAACACCTTTGGATCACGGTGGCGGAAACTTCCTCCTGTTTTCGCCTCAGAGTCGTCGTGATCGGCTCATAGGAGATCTTGGACGGGTTGGCCATCATGAATTTCTCCTCCATCTGCTGCTTAAGGGCATCCATCTCACCGGACTCGCCCAGGACGCGCTTTGTGAAGGCAAAGAGGATGTCAAGGCAGTGGATCTTGTCCCCACTGACCATGGGCAGGTCCATGGAGATCAGTTTGATCTTGTTAGGCTTACCGATGCGAAGCGGTTCTGAGAGTGAGTCAGCAAAGTCTGACAGCTTGGCGTACTCAATGAACTGCGTGGCCTCCGGGTCAAACTTCTCCCAAACCTCGTAGAACATCTCAAAGTCGTCCTCGCTCAACGGCTCAGTGCTCTCCTCCGTGGCCACACTGAAGTTCTCCAGGATGATGGCGATGTACATATTAACCACGATGAGGAAGGAGATGATGATGTAGGTGACGAAGAAGGTGATGCCAACCGATGGGTTCCCACAGTTCCCCCGGACGGTGGTGCCGGTGTGAGGGATGTTGGGGTTGCACTCCTCGGGGGAGTTGTTGAGGATGGGGGTGAGCAGGCTGTCCCAGCCAGCGGAGGTGGTGATCTGAAACAAGCAGATCATGCTGTTGCCAAATGTCTCAAAGTTGAACATGTCGTCGATCCCCGCCTGCCGTTTCACATAGGCGAAGTTGGCCATGCCGAAAATGGCGTAGATGAACATGACCAGGAAGAGGAGGAGCCCGATGTTGAAGAGAGCAGGAAGGGACATCATGAGGGCGAACAGTAACGTCCGGATGCCCTTAGCGCCTCTGATAAGACGTAGAACCCGTCCGATACGGGCCAATCGAATCACTCTGAACAGGGTTGGCGACACAAAGTACTTCTCGATGATGTCAGCAAGCACGATACCTAAAAAACATATAAGAAGAAAAGTAAGTAAATCATATATTGTATTGTGATTATTTTATGGACCTGCAAACATTCATATGCATAGATACATAAACGTATATATGTGTCAGGAGACACGAGTTAACTGGATTCTTCAATGACAGAGAGACTGTAAACACATCACAAACAAAACTTGTTTTAATTGTCTTCCTCTTATTTCCAAAGAAAACATTAATAAAAAATATTTAGGAAAGTGGAGACAGCTTTTTTAAGAAACAGAAAGGTCTGAGTAGAGGCAGCAGCAGATATCTTTGCAACGCTCCTCTAGATGAAGACCAGTTTCATGTTTTCACAGGTTGAATGAGCCATATATTGATGTTGTAATCAATGCATATCACTTTTCATGTACTAAAACAAGGGTTCCCAAACGTTTTCATATTAAGGATCGACACAATGGTTGCACATTAGACCATAGATTGTCTTAAGGAATCCCCTCTCAGCAGTGTGTGAACCACACTTTGAACGATGAAGGTCAGTGTACTTTGCAGCCAATGGATTTTCTTTTTTGTGAATGACATCTTTTGTTATTTATTCATTGTTATTAGCCCCTCATTGTCCAGATTGACCATATTTTCTCTTTGTTTGAAGGATCTATGTAACATCTGTTTTTAAATACCGTCACAGAGAACGGCAAGAAGGTAAAATATTTGAACTTTGGATGGCAGTGCCGGTATTTTTCTGCTCTCATCCACTAACATGACATCTCGTTTGCCTGGTTGTGAATGTGTAAATGGAGCATTAGGGCACGGTAGAAACCTAAACTTAGTCTCTGAAGAATCTATGATTATAATACAGACAGAAACTTTCTTTAAAAGCTCCTTAAAATACGTTTTACACAAACTTCCCGCAGTGATTGTGTTCACTGTTTGGATTCATTGTTTATCGGCTATTCTCTACTGTTATTGTTGTGCATTGAGTATAATATGAAATATCCATAATGTATAATATCACTTCACTCAATGATAAAAGGGTCCCTTCAGGAAAATGGTTGGGAATCTGTTTTAAGGCGACTGATTTCATCTACGCAGCAGAAACTATTTGCTGGATTTCTCAGTTACATCGCCTCAAATCGATAAGCTGAAGATTATTAGTTGACCAAGATTTTCCTTTTATTTGAGGACATTCCTGTGAGTTACATCATCTAAAAGCTCTCGGTTTGGATATTTCAGCCTTTATGTGGCAGCTCTGCTGTGATTACAACGTGAGTAATTGGTTCTGGAGGGCTGAGCTGTCTTTCCCCTCTAACAGCAAGTCAAACACCGTAATTCATCCATCTTTTCCTTGTTATCCTGGAATGATAAACTCAAAGAGGAGCTCGGCTGTCATCACCAGACAGTCCACACACACACACACACACACACACACACACATACACACCCTACACACTACACTACACACTCTATCTTTCATCCGTCTCTCTGTGTTGAGTTATAGGTGATGGAAGGGATGAGCAGGGGGGAGTCGAGAGGGAATCACCATCACATCGTACATCAACTCAGCTAACCCCCCCCCCATCCTGACGTCTCTCACTCACACACACACACACACACACACACACACACACACAGCTGATGTAACGGGTCAATCATGTTTGATTTGTCTCCAGGGACCGCCCTCTGGCAGCTCTGATTGCTGCTGTTACCTTCACCTCCCCCAGGCAGCCTCGTCTGAGCGTGCACACCAACACACATCCACACACACGCACACACACGCAGGCACACACTTAATTACACACACGCACACGCAATCTTGTCACAACACTGATAGCTAAATTACCTGCTTAGGTTGCTGCTCTGTGCTGCCTCTCTAGACTGTGTGTGTGTGTGTGTGTGTGTGTGTGTGTGTGTGTGTTACTGTATATGACCATACAGGACCTTGGTGCAGGGTAAAACATCAAGGCCACCAGGATGGTCACTTTGTTGACAGATAATTGTCAGGCAGACATTACATTACTTCCTGCTGCCACAGCTGATGCCTCACACACACACACACACACACACACACACACACACACACAGTACATGTATGCACATTTGAAGAATGCATCATCTGTAATTTAGATGTAAGATTGGTCCTAAATTGTATTCTATTGGCACCTAAATCCTTCTTGATTTTAAGGGGCGTAGGAAAGCTTAAAAGATACACACAGGAGGCCGATATCTCAGCATTTCAAACATAGGATTTGTCCAAAAAGAAGCCTATTAGGTACGTATGATGTTAAAAAAACATTAAAAAATACATAATACAGATTATTAAAAGTTTCCTAAACTTATCATGAAAACACATTAATTCATCCAAATCTCTAGTTTTTACACAAACTTCTGCAGTGAGTGTGTCAACTGTTTGGGTTCAATGTGCAGTTTATCAGCTGTTCTCTACTGTTACTGTTGTAAATTGAATGTAATATGGAATATACATACAGTACGTCACATAGTCAGAGGTCGTTATTTAACAAAAGGAAAAAGGTTGGTGCTTTAGAGTGAGAGTAACAACTGTTCTAATCAGTTCAACATTTAGTCAAAACAAAAACGTAAAGTGTCTGTAAAGGGGAGACTCATGGGTTGAGGTCAGAGGTCAAGAGACCCCTTTGAAAATGGCCAAAATGTAACCTAACTTTAGAGCTTTTTTGCCTCATTCCTGACATGCTAGCAAGACACGGTTGGTCCAGATGGATACTAGTATCTTTGGCTTTAACACAGAGTCCGCTACAGCCTCAGAAAGACAATGCGGAGTGGAAAAGCTGAGGATGACGGGGTGGCCCGTCCCAGAGGAAACGCCCTTGCACAGTAAACTTAGAAGATCTATTTTTTCATGTTTGTTGCCTCAGGATGTATGTTTTGTTTTTAAAATATTGGTAATTTCAGCCATTTTAAGAATTTACTCCTTTTTAACTCAATTCCTCCTTTTTGTTGGTTCTTATTTCATTCAAGCTTCTCGCCGGAAACCTTTCGGGAGGTATTTGAACTCACCAACGATGGAGAGAATGACGACCACAAAGTCGAAGATGTTCCAGCCGACGGTGAAGAAGTAGTATCGCAGCGCCACGATCTTGATGAGGCACTCGATGGTGAAGACGATGATGAAGGCCAGGTTGATTTTGTTCAGGATGTACTCCATCTGAGGCGACTGTTCGTCCGTCTCCACCATCATGGTGATCATGTTGAAGAGGATCAGCACCATGATGATGATGTCGAACGCCTGCTTCCCCGCCAGGTCGAAGAAGAAGCCCTGCAGCGAGTTCTGGAGAGAGAAGGCGTTTGATTTGTTATTGATTAATCAACCGTTATTTCATCTTTGGCACTTTATTTGTTATGTTTCATATACTTTCTTTTGCAACTATTACACATTCTCTCAAATAAAAGCACACTTTCCAAAAAATGGCCTTTATGTAGCTCAACAGCACAGATAAGGCTTTTATTAGAGATGGGCCTTTATTCCTAATTTCCCCTGTTTTATAAGTATCTATTGTAAAAAATCAGCAATCAATCATTTTTAGCTTTACCGCCATATATGTTTTGCTAATCTAATCTTTATTTTAAGAACCTCCATGTTTTCTGCCGTTTTAAATTACTTTTGAGTTTTTTTTCTGTTCATGCAAACTCAACACCTTCTTGTTTTTATGATTCAATTCAATATAATAAACATTCAACTGCACTACGGTACTAATTTTGGACTACAAACATGAAGAAATGCCTGCTTTGGACATTTATCTGCGTGGGTTCATATTAAAGTGTGCTGTGTGTCGGTACCAAAGGTCTGGGGATGGGCTTCTGAGGTTTCTTGGAGCCCAGTTTCTTCATCGCATTGTAGTATTTCTTCTGCTCCTCCGTCATGAAGATGTCCTGTCCTCCTAAGTAAACAAACCCAGCAACAAGTTCTCTGTTATTTTAACAGCAGCACACATCGACATAACAACGTGTTACTGTATCATGTTTGACTGATTCGTTTCTGCTGTGGTACTCATCTTTCGTTTCTGCTGGTTGAAGTTATCGATGATGACACCGATGAAGAGATTGAGGGTGAAGAAGGAGCCGAAGATGATGAAGATGACGAAGTACAGGTACATGTAGAGATTGATCTCTTTGATAGGCTGCTCCTCGACCTGACAGGAACACACACAGATCACTTTAAAAGGGAATACAGCTTCTCAGCGTCTCTCACCTAGACTCATTTTATCTTCTGTGTCACTTAATTCCTACAACACTAATCTCATTTAAAAACTTAATTCATGTTCATCTTCACACCTGATTAACATCTGGTCTCACCTCATTTTATTTTCTCTCTGTCTCTTAATGTCTTACCTCGGTTTTAAATTTGGAAAACTAACCTTTTCATTGTACCAGATTTTAGTCTTTTAATCTGACACAATATCATTTTACCTCCTGTTTTTAATTTAATCTTGTACAATATTTTCATTTCAATGCGTAATTATTGAATCTCTCTCTCCACCTTTTTGTTTTTTATCTCATCTGGTGGCGACAACAGACCCAAATTTTGAAAATCTTTTCTCTTAAACTTACAGCTCGAGAATCCACCGCTGCATACATGATCTCCATCCAGCCTTTGAATGTTGCCTTGGAAACAAAAAAAGCAAATGATTAAATGAGGCAAAGCTGAACCTGAACCTCAGTTCTCTTTGTTAATGTCACTGCGATTTGTAGAGCTGTGTGACTGATTTGACTTCACATTCAATAATGTACAAAATAAGGTGGACATGTACTGCAGTGGGAGCCAAATCAGTCTGAAGATGATTAATGGGAACTGGATGAAAACAAATTTCTTTTAAATAATGTTATAATAACCTCTTCAGACCCCTAAAAATTATTCACATGAACTGCTCACACCTCGTCAAAAAAACTTTTCAGCTTTGCCACTGTGGATTGTCAAGAAGAAAATGAAACTGTGAACTTGGTCGTTAGCTCTTCCAACACTGCTGATATGTGTGAAGGATACACTTCCAGTTTCCTCTCCTGGAAGTCAGTGGGGTTTTTTGAATGAGTTTTTGGTGAGATGGTTGGTTAGATTTTCTTCTACGATTTTCTTCTGCGACATAAAATACGTCAGTAAGCAGCAACAACTTTGAGCTTTTTACGTGTCTTAAAAAATACAGCTGCCACTTAACATCTGCACGCCAAACATGGAGACTTATCGACTCACTCGTCCGCCTTCACCCCCAAATTACACGGGGCTGATAGCGCCCATTGTAGACAATTTTAGAGATGCCACCAGAAGCGTTTCACCTCTTTGCTCTGCGTAGAATATGTGGCTGGAAGCTGCAACCAACTTGCGTCAAGCAGCATGAAAAAGTCAGGGACATTTCGCAGAAACAGCCTTGTTGTGTTGCAAACTATTCTAACTCAAACTTTTCAACTTGTAGATTTTGATTACAAGACTTAATTATAAGTTGGAAGTCTGGTGGGGGTGACGTTGAGGTCACGCAACTGCGGTGTAGTTCATTTATAGCCTAATGTTAGCTTTTTACTACTGTTGATCGTATCTATCATAAAAGTGGTGTTCTTGCTGTAAGTATCATAAACTTTTGTTTGCCACAGAGCTTATTTTCTGCAACAATCCAAAATCCAATGGAAAAATCCCATTGGATTTTTGTCAAAGGAACCAGGACAATGCTGTAAGTACGTCCTCCCTGCATCACCCATTACACTAGAAGGATATCTCTACATGGTTAAAAGTATGTGGTACACCAATATGTGATAGTTGTTGTAGCTCTAACAGCCTCCATTCTTCTGGATTCAGTCTTTCCACCAGATGTTGAACCAATCCAGGTTGAGAATATGGTTGTCCACATACTTTTGGCCATATACTGTATGTACTGTCTGTCTTTCAGTCCTTGGCCCGTATGTCGTCTGAAATTACAATCCTTCCAATGTCAGTGTGAGAGAGGAACTTGGAGCTCCTGTTTTCCTGTGTCTATGTGTGTCAAGTGTGTTCTGAGTTTCTCTGCAGCGCCGTCACCAAGACGACGTCCTGCACATTTCCTGCACTTAAATGAATAACTGAACAAAAGGTATCTTGAAGCAACCTTCCCATTTTAGCAGAAAATTAACAGACAGACAGAGAGAGAGAGAGAGAGAGAGTGCCATGGAAACACCGCTGCTGTTTTTCTCAATGAAAGATCAACAAGTCCTTTCATGGACTTCCTTCCCCAGTGGGGAGGAGACAGAAGATTGAGATAAAAACTGAAGGGAAGAGAGAGAGAGAGAGATGCAGATGTGAAGAAACAGAGTACTTTGGTCTGAGTGGGCGCCCACCGTCCGTCACTCAGACCTGAAATCAGCCCGTCGCCACGGGATACCACCTGTTATTATTATGGTCTGTCGGATGTGGGGGGGGGGCTGTAAAGATGACTAGCTCTGCTGAGATTTCTTAACGGATGTAGAGACGGAGTGAACGATCCGACTGCAGAGAGGAAAGTGATATTTTAACAAACCTATTCAGACTGAAGTTGTTTTCCAGCAATTAAACAGTTTAGAAACGGTTAAAACGAAAACTCAGAGCAGAACTGAAATAATTAGTTGATCAATTGGTCAACAGAATAATAGTTGGCAAGTTAATACAATTAAATTAATTATTTAGGTCCATTTCTATTCAAACATTTCTTTGGCATTTCCTCTGGTTCCAGCATCTCAGTTGGTGTTTTATAAAATAACTTATAAGACATTTAATGGAACATTGGATCTTAACAACATTGACCACCTGCTGGCAGGTTCGGTTGTTTTCTTTAAGATTCACAAAATGACTCCATTTATTATGGTGAGAAACTGTAAAAAATGATGATCAAACCAAATATTCTACATATTTTTTAAGATTTTGGCAAAAAACAAACCAGATCCTGTAAGAGGATGTAAGAACATGTAAGAACATGACATTTTGGGACGTGTTTCTCCAGTGAACCAGGCTGAGACCAACAGGCACAACAGTTCAACCTGTTCGAGTGAGCTGCAGGCTGGAGGGCAAGGACCCAGGTGAACAATGTTGTAATTTTTGTAAAATAAATTAGGCATATTAACTGTATTCTAAAGCACAAAAAGTTCCAAACCATTAACGGATCCACTGAGAAAAGATACATTTTATGGACTTTCTGGGTTACAAGTGAAGTAAACCTGATGAGCATTGTTGTGTTGTCATTTATACTACATCAAATAATTTTTATTTAAAAGTTCATGATCACTGGTAGAAACGTAGTCGTACAGTAAAAGTGGATCATCGAGGTCCTGAGACTGAGCTCGGTGAACTCTCTATGTGCATCATTTCTGCAGCGTGGAGCTATTTCCAGATGCTAATGGAAGGGTTGCCCCCGCCAACTGTTGCCACGCCGACCAGCCAAACACGGAGAGGTGCTGAGCGACTCGTTGCCACGGCAACGGTACTCTGAAGTTCTCAGCGGCTGCGGGTGAAGTAGCAGCACGCTGACTGACAACTTCTTTACCTTGTTTTTCCCCCCGTCTACGCTGTCATTTCGTCGCTCTTTTTCCTCCCCTCCTTTCTTTCCTCTAATTCACCATTCATCCCCCGTTATCTCTCCCCCTTTCTCCTCTCCATCTCCAACTGCTCACCTTTCCTCCATCATCCCACATCTGTCCATCTTCTCTCTCCCTCCCTTGTGATGTCTTTCCATCCCTCCATCTGCGTCCCTTCCTGTTTCTTTCTCTCCATTTGCTGTCTGAACCATAATTTTCTTTCTCCACTTGTACTTTTTTCCTCCCTCTCTCTCTCTCTCTCTCTCTCCCTCTCTCCCTCCATCTCTCCATTTCCCTCCCACTTGGCTGGAGTCGCTCTAAAAATAAAAGCCTCTCAGACGCTGATTGATTGGAGGCTCTCAGGACTCCCATGGTGGGCGACAGAGAGCGAGAAAGAAAAAAGAGAGCCAACTAGAGAAACAGGAGAAAGGAGGGAATCGAAGGCTTGTGAGGAAAGTGGGGAAGTGATGGAGAGATGAACGATGGAGAGATGAGGAGTTGTAATTGGCTTTGTTCGTGTTGCGTTAACAGATGAGGGAGAGACAAACAAAGAAAATGGACGAGGAGAATCATCTTCATCAGCAGCATAAAAGGAAACGCTGTGGCGGTTTCACCCTGCCAGAACATTCTTCTGGTGGAAAAACGCTTAATTTTTACTTTATCTTGGTTTAATTTCATACAAAATCTGTAGATATTCTGTCAAATATCAGACATCAAAAACCAGCAATTAAAGTTGAGTTGTCGCACGTACAAAGAGGACACGGCCTGAGTACCAACATTAGCTAACATTAGCTCCACACACCGATCACAGCTCACCTGTAACACATTTAATGGCTAAAAAACACGACTTATTATTAAATGCTTAGTTATTTTATTATATTTTGTTAAACCCCATCCCATTTAGAATTTATATACATAGAATTTATTATTATACATTATATAGTATATAAACAATTAATAATTAATGCTAAAACTGTTCTTATTGACTGCTGTTATACTTTATGAATTATTTCTATTTTTAAAAACACATACATTAATGGTACTAATATCTCATTATATATGTTATTTTGATTTGTATGATACATTATGATGAGCTTTACAGTTTTATGAGTTACGTAATAGATTTTAAATCTATGGAAGCCCATTCAGTCCAATTGTATAAGTAATTTCTCCAGTTTTTATTATGTAAAAGCTCTGAGCTGTGTTATTAATCAGAGTGTGTTTACTGTCTGTTGTTTACTCAGATTGTCTGCTAACAACTTACTGTAAGTGTTGCACTTTTCTTCAGTTTTCTTTTACAAGTACAGGCTCCGTTTCGAAAATCCAATAAACAGATTTGTATTTTTTATATATTTAATATAAAACATGTTTAACTAGAGAGCAGGAGACAGAAGGACGGACAGTGAGAGAAAGAGAGAGAGAGAAAGAGAGGAGGCGGTGGAAAGAAATTAAAGCTAACACGACAAATGGAGACAAAGAGAGAGAAAGAGGGAGGGCGAGCGGAGAAGTGGAAAAGTCAAAAGTGAGAGCGTTGAAGAACAGGTGTGGGAGGAAAATTAAGACAAAGACGGCAAATGGACAGGGCGAAAGAAAAGACGAGATCAAGGGAGCGAGGGAGGGAGGGAGGGGGAGAAGCAGAAAAGTCAATCCTCCTACGGTCTGTGGAGGAGACGCTCGGGTTTAATTTGTTTTGAAGTCGTCGTGCAGGAGAGGATTTTTCACTTTGTGCCTCCACTCGAAACTCCCTGTAAGCGCTTAATAAAGCCGCCGTGGTGACAGATTCACACAAAACGTTCCTCATCTGCAGCTTTGTTCTGCAGCAGACGAGAGCACCACGTCCGGGTTCGTGAGGCCAACCTCGGGGCATTAAAAACAGATCTGATTTGACTGCTGGTAAATTATTATTATTAGTTATTAGGAGCCAGCAAAGCAAAAAGTTACGAATCAACCTTTGACAACGAGCCTGAGAAGAAGAAAACAGGAGGGTTTATCTCCACTTCCTGTTACTTTCTGCTGTTTACAAGGTTCATTATTAGAAGGTAGGTCCGCTCAGTTTATGGGAATTATTGAGGTTAAAATACTCTCTGCTCCACACTGTCAAACCAAACCAAACCCAACTCCATATTCTGTAACAGTTAACTGATCTGGTTTTACAGTGTGAAGCATTTTGCTGCACTGTAGTCAATAAAATGAAACATGGTTGTAAGAGTTATAGAAACATGTTGAAATACTCGTTCACTGAATGTATCAGTGAGCATTCTGGAAAAGAAAGACAAAGATTTATGTAGACATTTTCTAGAACGTGCCTGCTGAAAAAAAGTGTACAGTGACTATAAAATAATTAATAATAATGGTAAAATCCAGACTCCAGACTCCCCTGCCGCAGCCTCTCACCACTTGAAGCAGAGCCAGGTATCCGGCCCCCACGTTGTCGAAGTTGACCTTGACTTTGGTCCAGTAGAAGAGCGAGGTGTCGTTGAGCGCCTCGCACTCCGACTTGTTGTTGATGAAGGCGGCCTCGTAGATGTGGCCGGTGCGGTTGACGCAGCGGCCGAACTTCCCGGCGAACAGGTTGACGCCCATGATGCTGAAGATGAGCCAGAAGATGAGACAGACCAGCAGCACGTTCATGATGGAGGGAATCGCCCCGATCAGAGCGTTCACCACCACCTGGGCCGACAGAGACACACGGGGTCACGCACAAAAAAAACACACAAAACGACAGTGAGAACATCAAGTTCCAGTCTGACGTTGGTCGGGTTTAACATTCATTTAAAGACTGGACGGAAACCAAACGCTCTGATGGTACAGACACACTGGAACCGTTGACTGATGTTGGTTCCTATTAGCTTTCTATGGATCCGGCTGCATGATGGATACACTGCAGCTCGATTTTAACTGCGCTCAAACTTTAAAACTAAGCAGTGCTGATTAAATATGAAACAAAAGTTTATGCTCCAGCATTGCCTTTTTCTCACTTCAGAAGCGTATTTTAGGGTACCGTGTAGCTGTAATCTGGTGCACATCAGTCATCACCCACCAGCCGCAGCACTGCACCGGTGCATCCAGGTTCTGTGTGTCTGCACCATTAATCAGGATTTCACTGGCTTCTTTTGGGGGACTGGTTAAACCTAAAATTGCTGATTTCACAGCGGCTTTTCTAAAAAAATGTGTTATTAAATTAGTCATTTTTTGCAATGAAATGTGGGGCTTTTTATGCCTTTATTTTGATAGGACAGTTAAACAGGAAAGGGGGGAGAATGAGAGGGGACGACATCCAGCAAAGGGCCTCAGGTTGATATCGAACCCAGGCCGCTATGTTAAGGACTCTAGTTAATTTTTGTAATTAATAATAGAAATAGAAACAAGGAAGTGACACAAAATTCAGGGGGTTGATTGTTTGCATCAATTTGTAACTTCCGAGAGGAAATTATACTGCTGCTGAATTGTAATTTCAGGGTCAAAGGTTCCTGAAGGTCATTTCCTCATTGATAATGTTTGATGACTGACAGTTTGATGGACATCAGACTACCTCAGGTGGGTTTAAGATGTTATTATTATTGATGAGAAGATCTGTAGACAAACAAACTGAAGGTCAGAAGTCAACTACGACTCCCAAGGTGCATTTCGTTAAGTATCATCCAATCACAGAGGATTCAATTGTGACGAGGAAGAAGATAAAAACTCGACTTCAGAGAACTAATAATATAATCTGCTCTGATTTGTATAGTAGTGCATTAAATACATCCAATTATGCAGCAGATGTTTTCTATGTTGGGGGAGAAAAGAAGAAGTGATCAACCAGCGTCGATGTCCTCGTCACCTGATCAACATACAGAACCAGAACTGTGTTCCTTTAACCTCACAGGTCTGGTATCACACTGCAGGGTTGAGGCAGGCTGGAGAACCCGGCCCACATGTCACACTGTCACCCCCGCATGAACTTTCCCACAATTCACTTGGTCGCTCTGTCCGAGCAGCAGCAGAGGGAAGTGGACTGATTCTTATTAACAGAGAAAATCCGCTTCCTCCTTCTCGTTGATGCTCGCACAGAGAATAAGAGCTGAGTCAGCTAATGTCAGTGCTACACACACACACACACACACACACACACACACACACACACACACACACATAAAATATCAGCCTGCCACTCCAGCCTTCCTCATTATACCCACAATGCAGTTCTTCTACCCAGAATCCCATGCTGAGTGAGCAGCGTGCCGCATTTGTAAACTGACATGCGAGCTAATCTTATTAGCCAGACAAAGAAGAGAGAAGAGGCTCACAGGGAGAGTGAAAGCTCAGACAATATTCCCAGCATGCAACATGGGTCCTGAACTTCACGAGACCCAGAGCCAGCATCCTGCACGCATCGGTCCGAACATCTCAGACCGAAACCACCTTCTCTCTGCGGTGACTGATGATCATAAAATACTGATCGGACAGTTTGATGATCAGCTGTCAAAACGTATGGTTTTGTTTGAGTTAATGAGGGTTAAACGCGGGTCGTTATTTGTTTTCCCGTCCTCACTAAATTTAGCTTTATTTTCAAGTCAAACAATACCTGATTTAATTATAACAAGAAGCCTGATTTCACAATTTACAAAAAAAAATCTAATTATGTTTATCACAAGATCAGAAATGTATCACTTTCTGGCTTTTGGTTTATTCCGAAGTGAAAAAGGACTTATTTGTGTCAAATTAAAACCAACTCTGAGTTGGGAGGAAAACACACTTTTTGTCAGACCACAAAGTGTAAAAATGTGTCTGAAAATAAAGTTTGAGTTTGCAGAATGTGCATCAACTCTTACTTGACCAACAAAATGATCCTTGAAACTGTTTTAGATTTCTACTCTGAGTCGTTACTTGCTGGAGTCGATGTGTCTGTTTCTGAATCTCACTTGTTAACGAACATGCGCAGATGTTTTAATGAGCCAAAATGTGGTGGAATGAATCATTTAGGTTTAAGGATTGTGTTGTCAGGAACACTTTTCCTCACTGCAGAGGAAGGTTTCTGCAGGACACTGACTCCCATGATGTCAGTAACACTGATGGTGATGAACACACAGAAACAGAGTGGAGGGTTGATGTTTCGGGTCTCAAAGCTTTACGGGCGTCCAGAGTTTCCGTACAGACATGAGTTCTCACAGTTTCACATAAAGAAATTGAGGCATTTGTTTTCTGAAAGAGAAAAAACTCTGAGTGGAAGCCACATGGAAACACTGACAGGACGTAATGGGATGAACCAATCAGAGAGCAGAAAACACTGAGGGTGACGGGGAGATGAAACAACAAGATGTCACAGGATGAAACACTGTAAAAAACACAGAGTTGAAACGTTTTATTCTAAACACACCTGGGCACCAACATATTGTTTCAATGTGATAAACAGGGGAGCGCTTGATTTATATGTATCATCCCTTACATCGCTGGAAGGCTTCAGTTAGTCATATAACCTCTGTGTGTTCTCAGGATTAAAACCATAGACTGTAGGATTAAAGATGGATGTGACAAAACGTGTTTAATGCTGACATTTAAACATGGGGCCCTAAAGATTGTCTCACTGCTGGAGCCAGCCTCTACTGGCCATTAGAGGAACTGCAGGGTTTGTTACTTCATTTACAGCCACTGAGGTTGCCGCCTCTTAAAAAATATTAAAAAAACGTCTTTTTACCGCCTCCTCAGACAGAATGACTCCTCGCACAAAACATTGAGAAGTTATTGAATTTAATAGCATTTAAAAGTCTTGAGTCCTTGTTGTCAAACAAGGACTTAATGTTGTTAAATTAACTGTTGAGATTGATACTAAGCCTCATTATGGTCAGCAGTTTTAGTTATTATCAAAGGAAACAACTTTGACATATTAATGTACATTTCTTTCAAATTATAATAAGAGAACCAACCATGCCATGCATTCTGGGAAGTCGGCTAATATGCTTATAATGTTTCTTTAGACATTCATTCAAATCGTAATTTCGTCAGTCCGAGTGTAAAAAATACACATTTAAGAAGTTGGTTTGAGTTGAAATCATTAAAACCCACATTAGTTAATGATAATAACAGTGGCAGCCATTAATAATAACTATATAGAAATATCCAGTCTTCTTGCTGATGGTGTTTGTTTATGCTGGTCATACAGAGGCATCAGCATTAGATGTTTCATAACCAGTTAAAAACTCCTTGTATAATATAATAATTCTACGTTTTACAGTGCAGGACATGCACTATGCATATAATGCAAGTACAGACGACATCTTGTGATATTTGAAGGTATAAACCAAGCGCTCCCCAGTGCAGCTGATATTGAATGCAGGTTCCCAGGTGTGTTTGTCGTGTTAATACTGACTCTTACCCTCATGCCTTCAAATCTGGAGAGGGCTCTGAGGGGCCGAAGGGCTCGCAGCGTCCGCAGGGACTTGATGGCTGCAAAGTCTGAATAACCCAATGTGTTGGCCACCAAACTGACCAACGAGACCTGGAGGAGAGAGAGAGAGAGAGAGAGAGAGAGAGAGAGGGGAGGGAAAGGACAGAAGAAGGTAGAGACAGGTATTTAGAGACAGGCGGAAGGACAGAGGGAGGGAAAGGAAGGAAGGGAAAGAGAAGAGAGAAGTAGGACAGTTAACGTCTAGTCTAATGAAGGACAGAGCGGGAGAGGACGGATCCACAGAGCTGAAACCAGCCAATCAGAACTGTGGAGAGACAAAGTTAGTGACTCCTGCAGGAGAGGAAGGAGAGATGGATGATAAGACAAAAGTTAGTTGGTTCTGAGCAGCGAGACTGAGGTGATCAACGAAGAGATGCTGCTTTTTAAAAACACCTTATATTTCTGAGACAGCTTTAACCTGTAAAACCAAAAAAAGGTTTAAATATTTCAGAAGCATTCTTTGGATTCAGTTATTCCGACTTTCCAACTGTGGAAAAGAAACAGATCATTACTGATTAGTCTGTAAGAAAAGGTGTCATGATGGCTTTTTAAAGACGTAATACAACAGACTGTATTGTGATACTCTGATTCTGTTAATTAAAGAACTTTAGGTGCTTTTGAGGAAATGTTTGTACAGATTTTTCTCCACCATGACAGGATTATGTGAGACACGTCACAGGAAAAAGTGAAAGAGTTCCCACTCTTTTTAAGAAATCATTTTCCAGGATACTTTCCAGGAGTTTTTTTGACATTACAGGACTGCAGGTGGTCAGCATTTATGGGACACTACACGTCAGCTCGCATTCGTGGCCCTTTTGCTGTCGCACTCTCCTGCAAACTGACTACAGTTCTCCTCTAACTGTAACATTCATTTAGCCCATAAATACCAGTTTGAATCAGGTATAATTTTTTATCTTACCTTAAATTCCTCTTCTCACCCACTATAAGACTATTAGAAGAAGAGGTAGACAGACAAATCTAACCATAATAATAGACTGTATGCATGCAGTGGTTCCCGACCACTAGGGGTCGCCAAAGTGTCATGGGGGGTTACAAGGACTTTAAGGCATGAAAACTTAAACTATGGATCTAGAGCTCAGCATTTGGTTCCCTTCTGTGAATAAAAGTAAATATAAAGTAAATTGTCTACTAGAAGGTGTCAGGAAGAAGCAAATCACTAATTTGACACAAACTTCCTGCAGTTACTGTTACTGTTCACTGTCTGGGTTCATTGTTCAGTTTTGAATATAATTTGAAAAATCCATAAAATATGTGACTGAGTCAGTTTATTGACAGATGGAAAATAAGGGTTCTTGGAGGAAAAAGGTCGGGAACCACTGATCTGCAAAGGTTTGCTGCGGGTTTTTTGAACAACTCTTGACTGACATGAGAGCGGAGCAGAAAAAGGAGCCTGAGTGAGGGAGTAAAGTACGATTCAAATGTTTCAGGACAACATTCAAGAATTTCTGGTTATTTGACAGAATAACTAGTTTTCTACGTTGTCCAGTGATGAATGTTGGTTATATAACTTTAGGTGGTTAACTGTAAAAGATTGTAGCCGTATCGTACACAGTCTGAGATATCACGTCTGATCAAAGCCAGGATGACAGAAACCACATGCATCCCTAAAGCCCTCTAAAGCCAGCCAGGTAAGCCCCTCCCACACACGAGCGCTTGATTTTTTCTTGAGGTCCCGAGTTGGTCGGTTGGGCAGAGCTCCAGGTGAGTTCAGCTGGGTCTTACCCTGATACCAGCGAAGCGGGACGCGGCCCGGAGAGGACGGAGAGCCCTGAATGTCCTCAGTACCCGCATGGCGGCGATCTGGTCCATGGAGATGAACTGAGCCAGCTGACCCAACACTGAGATCTACGGGGTTACACAGTTACTGTAGAAACCGGCTGACGTCTGACCACATTTTCTGGACATCGACTGAATCTAACGTTCTTAAATAATACCACACCACTATTGTTCTTACTACGTAATTAATTATAATTACTTCTACTTTGCCATCATTTTGTGCAATGTGGAGCTATTGTCAATAAACCTCAACACTTCCTGTATCTATTTCACAATAAAAACCTGGGTTATGCCTTTTAATGTGAAACACCTATGCAGAAGATTATTGACAGCAGCTAAACACAGAACAGAAATACAGTTGGAGTTAATTACAGAACAAAACAGTCATTTGTGTTTAGAAGAGAGAGCAGCAGAGTGGCGAGTGAGACACAATTGTTGTTGTATTGATGAAGTTAGTCCTTTGGAAATGTACATTATGTTCAATTTATCAATAAAACTCAACAAAAACAGGAGCAGATGAGAAAACAGGGAGTCTTATACAACAGAAGAAATATAGAAATATGAACCTGAAATAATGAAACTTTATATTTGCCACACTCAGCTTTAGGATTAAAGTATGATCAGTTCTGAGAGGAGGGATAAATCCTGTTATAGTCTAGATTTTTCTTATTTTCTTAACATATACAGTTCCTTCTTGTTTAGTACTAAAGCACCAAACTAGTTAAGTTGTGCCCAAAGTAATCGTGGTGCAACCAGTATTAGCAACAAACTGACTGGTAGTTATCTGAGCGTCCAGTGTCGACTTTACACCCTAACTGAGGAGAGAACTCACACATAGCTGCTAATAAAAAACCCCCAAAATGTGGGAAAATTAGAGTGTTTCGTACCCTCATATTTATCCTGGGACCCACCGGAGGGACCCGACCCACAGGCTGGGTCACATCATCCAACACTGAGACCAATTTATTACCATTTGGTAATCCGGTGCTATCCATTGGGGTTATATATAACTATTTTTATGTGTTTTTCTGCCCTCTAGTGGCTAAAAAATCCAGATGAATGCAGCTTTAAGTAACGGATATGTCTTTGTTCCACAGCTCTCTGTCTCTATTAATAAAACTCTGGTTCTGTTTCTGGTTAGACCTCTGTGACTCAACACATCCCTGTCTCCTCTCTCTGCAGGCCACTACAGACAAATAAAAACGTCACAACACGCAGCGTCATTTATAAAGACGGCAAGGCGGAAAACACACAGAAAACGAGAGAGAGAGCGAGAGAGAGAGTGTCGATTTCTGACTCAGTGCATGTGTATGTATTATAAACTGTGTGAGTGTGTGTGTGTCCACATATACACATCTTTGTATGTGTGCGTGTATGCAGAGGTTAAAAAGCCACTGATGATCATTTGGCCTGAGGCTTTTTAGACTTTTCTCTCTCTGTGTGTGTTCCTCTCTTTGTCTCTCTATGTCTCTCGCTCCTTTTTATTCATGGACTCCTTTATTGCAGTGCAGCGAGGTTAAGAGCAACAAGACGACTGGTGTAACACACACTACCTGAGAGTCAGCACACACATCAACATACACATATATATATCATATATCTGACATATTGCATGATAATATATTAAACAAACTCATATATATAGATTTTCTTAAAGGGACAGGTCACATTTTTCATTGTAATCGTTTCAGGAACAATATGACCAAATACAACCAAAATAAGCGATCAGTTACGATTAAATGACTTACGTCGACGATGAGGAAGTCGAGCCAGCACCAGTAGTTGGTGAAGTACTTCTTGAAGCCGTAGGCGAGCCACTTGAGCAGCATCTCCAGGATGAAGATGTAGGTGAAGATCTTGTCCGCGTACTCCAGCACCACCTTGACCACCTTCCTCTGCTCGATGTAGATGTCCTCGAAGGCCTGAAGGGGGATGCAGAGAGGGACGTTAGAGGGCCGATAACGACAGAAATATGCTTTAGATCTCCAATATTAGTAATAATCTTTGTTGTTTCTTTGTTTCTTTGTGAGTTTTTGGCAAAAAAAAATACATCCTGATACATTTGTAAATATAGTATAAAGAACATAATACTTAATAAATGTATATGCAGAATAAAAGAAAAGTACAGTACAGTAAATATACATATAAAATAATATAATCCTATCAGAAAAGTAAAACATAACCTTTAGTAAAGTAAGTTAAAGTACAGTTGATTAAAATTATTAATTAAGTAAAACAAACTACAGTAAATTCACCTAAAGTAAAGTAAACTAAGGAAAGTAAATCAAAATTACAGTGAAGTAAAGCAAATTAGGTAAATTAAACTACAATAATTTAAACTGTGGTAACATGAAAGTTGAGTAAACTACTGTAAAGTAAATTATGGTAAAACACAGCAGAAGTAAACTACATAAAAATAATAAAGTAAAATAAAGTAAAATAAAGTGTTTGTGTGTCTGACCAGAGCTCCGGAGCTGAGGAGGATCATGAAGATGATGAAGGACTCGAACCAGCTGTGCTCTACAATCTGGTAGCAGGTCTTTCTCGTTCTCCACCAGATCTGACCGAAACCGACTGTGGTGTCGATGTCGCAGCACTGAAACCGGGCCACGCAGACTGAGGGAGCGAGAGACAGTGACAGAAAAGAGAGAGAGAGAGAGAGAGTCTAAATTGTGTCCCGGTGGCTTTAAGTCATTAATTGTTTTAGTTTCTGGTTTTCTTGATCTTAGAGGGAAAAATAGACCTTTCCTATGAGGCTTGGGCACTGATGTGATTATGCAAAGGTCCTCAGAAGGCTGCTTCCTTTCACAAATAACTCAAACAATATTTAAGTCACATATTCTTTAATTAAGTTTTATATTTTTAACATATACACTCTCAACCAGTTGACATTATCAGTTGGTGTTTATTGTCCATCACAACATTAATAGTTGTTATATGGAAGAAGCAGCAATCCCTCATTATTTAGAGAGAGAGAGAGAGATTATACAGATATACAGATTTATTTATTTGTTTTTAAAGCTGACTCAAAACCTGCCTTTTTAGTCTTTTATTTTTATTTCGTAATCTATTTGTCTCTCCATTTATGTTTTAATTATTATTATTGTTTATTTATTTGTACAACTGACTCAGTTTTATTTAACATTTTCTAATTCTGCCTCCAGTGTCTCCTCACTGCAACTTGATAAGATCATTTTTTATTGATCACAAAAACATTTATCAGTGTTTGTGTGTGTGTGTGTGTGTGTGTGTGTGTGTGTGTGTGTTTGATATACAAACAAAGTCTGATTGATTGATACAAAAACAGTTAAATAAAGAAAATATCAGATTAATAGAAGTTATAATAAAGAATTTACTGTGTTTACATCCCAGCCCGACTGACACACGAGGACTATAATATAACCTCTGAGGTATGAAAAGGAAACAGGATAACGAGGGAAGCGAACCCTCCTGGATTCATCTGTAGTTAAACAACATTTGAGTCGCAACCAGTGCCTTGCTCCGGGGCACGCTGGTATCACAACCACAAACAGAAGCCGCACACGCAGGGCCATGGCATGTCTTCTTTGTTGGCGCACAGAATAACCTGCAGCATAAAGTGCTCCATCTGTGTGTGTGTGTGTGTGTGTGTGTGTGTGTGTGTGTGTGTGTGTGTGTGTGTGTGTGTGTGTGTGACAAAGACTTTCTTGCTCGTGAGCATGCAGACATATTCTGTGTGTGTGTTTAGAGGCGTGCTGTCTTGCGTAACTACTGACTCTTTGACAGATGTTGAGCTTCTGCTTCCCCACAACAACCCTCCCTGTGTGTGTGTGTGTGTGTGTGTGTGTGTGTGTGTGTGTGTAATGGAGTGATAATGATAGCAGATTGCAGCCTTCACGTCATATTGACATTTCATTTCTGAACATTACTTACAGTGAGAAAGTGGACAAAACTGTATTTAACCCTATTCTAATTCAGCACAACCCTGACTCTGTTGCTGTTATCCTTATATCCGCTGTTTGGGTTGTGTGTCTGTTTAATGCCTTTAATTGAGCTGAGCAACAGGCCACAGGTCGGATTCGAACCCACAGCCACTGCAGCAAAGCTCTGGTACCTGGGGCACCAGCTCTGCCAGGTGAACTACCAGGGGTGTTTTCTTAGCATTAAGCTAGCTACATGTTCACACAGAGACACAGTCATTTAGGAGTACGTCACCAGACTTGGTGCACAGCTCGGGAGTAAACAGGCATTCTTTTGGGGGGACGTGTCCCCAAGTACCAAAATATGTTAAATATGTTCTCATTTTCTGAGCACTGTCAACTCAATTGTCTCTTATTATTTCCTTTTTTTCCCCGTTTGTTCAAGAAAGCATTTGTGTGTCTCCCCCCTCCCAGCTGTACACTTGGTTTCACCCAGTACATTCAGTGTGGTCAACTTTTCAGATCCTCAACCCATCAGGGAAAAGACAAGAAATATGAATTACAGTCATGTGAAAAAATAAGGACATCCTATGAAAACATGTGTTTTTTAACATATTTAGAAATATGGATATTTAATGTTTTACAATTTTAACAATACTGAGAGATTCAAGTAATATAACTAAACAAGTAAAACTGAAGAAAATACTTTTTAAGACTTTCTGTAAAATGTAATAAAAATAAAAATTTCCGGTGAGGAATAAATTAGGACACCCCCACATTTTTTCCCACTTAAAAATGCTGAAATCACACACAGGTGTATCACATCAGGTGCACATGATTAGAACATTGTTACTCAGCATTTTGAAGGAGGATTGCCCTATTTAAACCTCAGACATTCAGTTTGGTGTGCTCCTGACTGTTGACGTGAGAGTGAACACCATGGTGAGATCGAAAGACCTGTCTGAGGTTTTCAGAAAGAAGATTGTTGCAGCTTATGAGTCTGGTAAGGGATTTAAAAAGATCTCAAAAGAGTTTGAAATCAGCCATTCCACTGTCCGGAAAGTAGTGTACAAGTTGAGGACATTCAAAACAACTGCCAACATGCCCAGGTCTGGCCGTCTAAGCAAGTTCACCCCGAGAGCAGACCGCAAGATGCTAAAAGAAGTCTCCAAAACCCCTCAAATGTCATCACCGGACCTACAGCAGGCTCTGGCGACTGTTGATGTGAAAGTGCATGCCTCTACAATCAGAAAGAGACTGCACAAGTTTAATTTTTACGGGAGGTGTGCAAGGAGGAAACCTTTACTCTCCAAGAGATACATTAAGGCCAGACTGAAGTTCGCCAGAGAGAACATAGACAAAGAACAGGACTTCTGGAATAATGTTCTTTGGACAGATGAGTCTAAAATTGAATTATTTGGACACCAGAACAGAGGACATGTTTGGCGCCCACCAAATACAGCGTTCCAGGAAAAGAACCTCATACCAACTGTGAAGCATGGAGGTGGAAGTGTCATGGTTTGGGGATGCTTTGCTGCAGCAGGACCTGGCCAGCTCACCATCATAGAATCCATCATGAATTCTACAGTGTATCAGAGGGTGCTTGAGCAACATGTGAGACTATCTGTAAGAAAATTAAAGCTGAAGCGGAACTGGACCCTGCAACATGACAATGACCCTAAACATACCAGTAAATCCACCAAGGACTGGCTGAAAACTAAGAAATGGAGAGTCCTGGAATGGCCCAGTCAAAGCCCAGATCTTAATCCCATTGAGATGCTGTGGGGTGACTTGAAACGGGCTGTACATGCAAGAAACAATCAAACATCACACAGGTTGAAGCATTCTGCATTGAGGAGTGGGGCAAACTTTCCTCAGACCGATCTCAGAGACTAGTAGAGGGTTACAAGAAGCGTCTCACTGAAGTTATTTCAGCCAAAGGGGGTAACACTAGGTATTAGAGGGTAGGGTGTCCTAACTTCTCCCTCCATTAGAATATGCATTCATGTTGATGTCTTTTGTTTAATGAGTAAAACAATGTTATTTTTTGCTGTTTACCTGCAATTAGATCACTTTCTTTTCCAGAGATAAATAAAAACAAGATTAGACATCGATATGTAAAAATGTCTTAATGAATAACTGAATATTTAATGGGGTGTCCTAATTTTTTCACATGACTATATAGTAATTCATTCCCGTGCATGCTGCCCAGAGCAGTCCACAGCGCTTCTGCCAACGGCGTTGGTCTCTCATAAACAACAGAAAATATCAAGACAAATGTCAATATAGTCTTCAAACGTTCTAAATGTACACATTTTTTCATTTAGAAGTGTGGGAAATACATTAAAAAATTCTCAGTATCTTTAATGTGGTTAAGCCCAAAAATGTACATGATAGGGGAGTTTGAGGGCATTAGTAGTTATTTTCAGACAATTATTTCTCTACTTTTAGTGTATAACCCTTACAATAAATCTTGGTGACCTCAGTACTGGTGGCCCATTTCAGGCACTGGTGTTGATCAATGGGTGAACAATGCTTCTCTGTGCAGCTTATACTTCAGATCCAGTGGATGATACACTCAGTGTTCACACATTTAAAGGGTAAGTCAGTGTTCAGGAGACATAGACATTCCTTTAGGTTAGGTAAGTTTGGTGTTTTTAAAGATCTTTTTATAATCTGAATGAGTGTTGGAAGAGAGTGTCAGAACTATTATTACTACAAGCATAATAAACATAGTTCTTACATAAACCTTTTACAACAGGAAGGGATTGATATGCATGTGTAATGTTTTGTCACAGGATGAATCTTCAGCACGCGGCTCTTCAGCTCAGAGCAGAACATGTTGACATATCCTGAAAGCAGCTGGATGAGCCTGAGCAGATGGAATCGCTCTGTGAGTTATTCGTTGCAGTGCATCATTCGCTGAGTGAGTGCTGATAACGAGAGGATCAGATTCCACGTCGTTCCACGTTATCGCTCCGTCGGCGGCCTGTGGCACTAAAAGCCTGTCGCTGGCGTTTCCAAATTCGATCAGTGCGTCTGCGAGGGGCGACCGGGACGACGAACCGCAACCTGACGTCCACTCACAATCAAGACCGGAACTTCAGCAGAGTGATTGCTGGAGTGAGTGATGCTGACGTGCCCCTCGAGCAAGGCACGATGGCGGCTCAAGAGACAGACAGAGGAAGACACAGAAGGGGGCAGGATGTGGTTGAGATGTGGTGTGCATGTGGTGGGAAGAGATTTGAGCGTTGGCAGTGACTTGTTGCGAGAGATTTGTTGTTTTTAATGGTGAGAACTTTCCCACCAGCCTGTTACCTATAAAACCACGTCTATTTACTATGGTCTACTTTTTCTGCAATATTCATGTATTTCCATTCTGTAATTACCTCTTGAAACAGGCCTAGTAGTTGTCATTGTCAGTGGTGGAGTCCGCCATTCAAGAGCCGGATTCAACAGGAAATGAAGCAGGTATGTAATCCAGAGCCACATTGTGTAGTTTCATCTCATTGATATTGAGTTTACGTTACATCACTGCTAATGCTAACCCAACATTCCCTGATAATGCTGCTATGTCACATTAAAAGTGCTCAGTTAGTAAAATACGAGACTGGTTTCATAGTGAAATAGACGCAGGAAACACAATGGACGTTTTTAGCATTTTTAAACAGCAGATCAGTTTTAAACACTGCAGGGAGACATGAAGGAGGAGTAGCC